AATTTGGACACCCAGGGTGCTCACAGCCATTAGACTGTCATTCTTCTTGGCCTTTCAGTGAACACAACCAGGAGATACATATATACACACACACACACGTATATATGTATATATTTATATGTATATATTTTGTAGAATGAGGAAAATTACTTATAAATTCATACCAACATTGCCAATTCTAATTTCAGATTACAGATTTTTTTACTCAAATATGTGACTCAATCAGATTACAGAATTTATAGCTAACTTCATTGATTTGATACTAGTATCTCTTTTATCTTTAACTGAAAATCTGGGATTCTAACAATATTGAGTTACTTGTTATTTTATACACATATATAAGTTATACAAAATACATGTAATAACACCTAAACAGGCCAGGCATAGTGGGTCATGCCTGTAATCCCAGCACTTTGAGAGGCCGAGGCAGGTGGATCGCTTGAGGTCAGGAGTTCAAGACTAGCCTGGTTAACATGGTGAAACCTCATCTCTACTAAAAAATACAAAATTAGCCAGGCATGGTGGCACACACCTGTAATCCCAGCTACTTGGGAGGCTGAGGCAGGAGAATCGCTTGAGCCCAAGAGGCAGAGGTTGCAGTGAGCCCAGATCATGCCGCTGCACTCCAGCTTGGGCAAAAGAGGGAGATTCTGTCTCAAAAAACAAACAAACCAAAAGAAACAACCTAAACAATAATATTAGTATTATTACAATACCATTCTTATTATTATTATTATTTTTGAGACGAAGTCTCGCTCTGTCGCCCAGGCTGGAGTGCAGTGCCGGGATCTTAGCTCACTGCAAGCTCCGCCTCCCGGGTTCCCGCCATTCTCCTGCCTCAGCCTCCCGAGCAGCTGGGACTACAGGCGCCCGCCACCTCACCCGGCTAGTTTTTTCTATTTTTTAGTAGAGATGGGGTTTCACCATGTTAGCCAGGATGGTCTCGATCTCCTGACCTCGTGATCCGCCCGTCTCGGCCTCCCAAAGTGCTGGGATTACAGGCTTGAGCCACCGCGCCCGGCCTACAATACCATTATTAAATGCAGTTAATTTTTTTCTGTTTTTAGGCTTTGTCACACTAAGGATATAGAGTCAAATTAACAAGTTTTACAGTCTGTAATTTCTATGTGGTTATGCCAGTGACTCCATGTACACTTTGACTGTTTCTTTTCTTTTAGGAAATGCTTTGTTATTTTCTTTTAAAACATAGTTATGTAGGCTCTTGAGCCGCTTACTTTGGCCCACTCCTGCCCTGTGGAGTGTACTTTCATTTTCAATAAATCTCTGCTTTTGTTGCTTCAAAAAAAAAAAAAAAAAAATATATATATATATATATATATATGTGGCTGGGCACCGTGGCTCAACACCTGTAATTCCAGCACTCTGGGAGGCCGAGGTGGGCGGATCACGTGAGGTCATGAGCTGCAGATCAGCCTGGCCAACATGGTAAAACCCCATCTCTACTAAAAATACAAAAATTAGCCAGGTGTGGTGGTGGGCGCCTATAATCCCAGCTACTTGGGAGGCTGAGGCATGAGAATCACTTGAAACCCCGGGTGGCAGAGGCTGCAGTGAGCCGAGATCGCACCACTGCACTCCAGCCTAGGCGACAGAGTGAGGTTCTCTCTCTCAAAAAAAAAAGTAAAACATTTACATGAATCCAAAGTTGAAGCTATTAAACACAGTGTGTACAGAGAAATCTAGCTTCCATTCCTATTTCCTTCACCCTGTTATTTTCTTACATGTCACCATTTTTCTTAGTTTATAATTTATACTTTATTGCTTCTTTAACATGTAAGCAAATGCACACATTATTTCTATTTCCCCATCTTTCTTACAAAAAAGGCAACATTTCAACACGTGTGAAAAGGGGGAAAAATAAAAATAAAGGCAACATATACATGGCCTCTGTCCTGCTTTTTTCACTTAACAATACATCCTAGATTTCCAAAGCAGTCCACAGAGATGGTTCTCTTTCCTCTGTACAGCGGCATAAAACTGCATTGTATGGATGTACGTAGCTTATTCAGCCAGCCCTCTGTGGATGGACGTGTGAGTTCAACATTTATTCCATGACCAAATTGTGCCAGGCACTGGGAATAAAGACGTGGTCTCTGGCTTCAGGAAACTCGGAAGTGCAGATGGGGAGATCTCCACAATACAAGTGCTTTCTTTATAAGAAGTAATAGCTTGGGTCCACTTAGCACAAGGGGCACATGGATCAGGGAAGAGACGCTTGCACACAGGAGGGATACAATAACTGTCTATTGATTGGCATCTTGCTTCCACTTGGGCCTACAAACAGGAGAGTCCCCTCGGGAGGAAATGGTTACCCATGGTTGAAATTGCTTAGAAAATCATGAGTGCCACCAATTGGTCAGAGAAGGGAAAGCTGAATGAAAGAGGCGGAGAGGGAGAGTCCTAACCACAAAATTACCCTGGAAAGAGGAAATGTAACAACACAGGAGCTGTGGTTTAACATGAGCCAACACCTGTGTAGAACTTTCTGCTGACCAGATATTGTTCTAAGCAGTTTACATATAACCCCTTTCTCACAACACTCCTAAGTGGTACGAATTATTACTACCTGTATTTTTCCGATAAAGAAATTAAGGTGGCTGGGCGAGGTGGCTCATGCTTGTAATTGCAGCACTTTGGGAAGCTAACGCGGGTGGATAACTTGAGGTCAGGGGTTCGAGACCAGCCTGGCTGACATGGTGAAACTCCGTGTCTATTAAAAATAGAAAATTAGCTGGGCATGGTGGTGGGTGCCTGTAATCCCAGTCACTCGCGAGGCTGAGGCGGGAGGATCGCTTGAACCCAGGAGTTTGAGGCTGCAGTGAAATATGATGACGCTACTGCACTCCTGCCTGGGCGACAGAGCAAGACCCTGTCTCTAAAAAAATTTTTTTAATTAAATAAAAAATAAAAAGAAATTAAGGCACAGAGAGTTTACCAAACTTTTGCCCTAGGCCACACAGCAAAATGGAAAGAAGGGCAGGCAAGAAGACAGCAAGACACCGCAGATGGGACAATTGCAAGCAGTGCACCAAGAAGCTGGTGCCCTCCCCAAGGTGGGAGGAAAGTACTGTATGTCCCTCTGCCCCATGACCACCTCCTGGCGAGAACAAAGGACACCCGACACATCACCTCTCCCTCGCCCCTGGGCGCACACACGCCCCTCAGCCTACCCCAGGTCAGAAAACCCCGAAAGGCTTTCTCTGGACTCCTGACCCCTGGATGCGCGGCTGACGCCTTAAAGGAGTCCCTCTTCGAGCAGTGGCCGACACATCTCTCTCTCGCGCGCCACCCCTCCCAGGGTCCGAAGCTCCCGCCTGTGCAGTGGCACAAATGAAGTTTGCCTCCTCGGGCTCCTGCGAAACCGTGGAAGCTATGAGAGTCACAAGTTCCTAAATGTGACCAGCCCCTCGGGAACTGAAGGCCAATCGGGCTCAATTCCACCCTCCAGGAAGGCGCAGGAAGAGGGAACAAGATATGCCCACGCGGCGTGGGGGACTTAACACAGGGCAGTAGCACAGGAGCGACCCTTCTCGCTTCTTCTCAAAACCCAACCAAACACGGCTGGTTTCCACATCCACCCGGGCCAGAGCCCGCAGCCTCCGGCTCCCCTGGGCAGTTCCGGGCGCCGCCTGCGGCCCATGTCCAAGACTGCGCTCTGCTGTCCCCGCACACCCGGCGCCGACATCGGCGGGGCGGGACCAAGACGGATCCCCAACGCGACGACCCGCCTCACTCGGGGCTGCCCCAAATGCCACTTGGGGCCTTCTACCTTGACGCTAGAATTTGAATTTTCAAACGCTTGTGCATATAGCCTTTAGAACGCTAGCTCCAGAAACCAGCTAAAGTATTGCATTGAACAGAAAACCAAATACCGCATGTTCTCACTCGTAAGTGGGAGCTAAACACTGGGAACACGTGGACATAAAAGTGGCAACAACACTGAGGTCTACTAGAGGGGGCACTAAAAACGGGCCAAGCTGCACTCCAAATCCCAGCATCACACAATATATCCAGGTAACAAACCTGCGCAGGTATCCCCAAAACCTAAAAAATTGTAAGCCATTAAAACACACTGCACAGGCCAGGCGTGGTGGCTCACGCCTGTAATCCCAGCACTTTGGGAGGCCAAGGCGGGCGGATCACGGGCCGAGAGATCGAGACCATCGTGGCCAACATGAGGGAGACCCCCCGTCTCTACTAAAAATACAAAAATTAGCTGGGTATGGTGGCGCGCGCCTATAGTCCCAGCTACTCGGGAGGCTGAGGTAGGAGAATCTCTTGAACCCGGGAGGCGGAAGTTACAGTGAGCCAAGCTGGCGCCACTGCACTCCAGCCTAGCGACAGAGCGAGATTTCCACTCCCAAACACACACCTCACAGTTGTACAACGAAAGAGCACCCGTGCATGTATCTTACAGACAGAAAATAATGGTACCCACCAGCGGTAACTACAAGACTATTAAATCACCTATAATTGTAACTAGCAAGAAGGTAAACTACAGCGTTAAATTGATCCTTGAAGTTCAGGTCAGATGGGGAATGTGCCGACGTCGTAACAAGGTTGTAGGGTGGCACATCTCACACAAACGTGTGAACACCCAATCATCACACTCATGAACCACAAAAGGATCATCTTATAACAACCATTAAGGAGCTCCAAGTATGTGCCACTAATTTTACAGATAGGGTGACTACCGTAATGCGACATATCGAGTCTTCATATATAAAACCCTGGATGTTTTCAAAGCCACACGGAGATTCTGTGATTATTCTTTTGTTTCTACCTTAGCAAAGGAAAGCAGAAACACAATTAGCGAGCGGATTATTATATATGCAAATTTGTTCTCCATGGTTCCACCGCTGGGTCTTGTTCTCAAGCATGGATCTTTATTGCTTTACGACCATACGTCGTGAAATAAGAAGGTGTTGCGGCAGTACTGCAGTACTGGCGGAAGCTAGCCTTGTGCTTTGCGGCAGCAATATGAGCTAGGTCCGGATCCTGCTATACACCGACCGGCGCGAGCGGTTGCAAGTACCTGGCGGTGGTTGCGTTGGTGACATGGCTCAGAAGTTTATTTCTTTAAAGTTTTAAGGTTTTTTTTTTTCTTTTTAGTCTTCAGAAAGCAACAGTAGTTTTTTTTTACGTCACCGTTACAAGTATAAGACTCTTTTACTCCCCGAGAGTCCCCTTTTCCTTTCTTGTGTCTCTTCCTTTCTCTTTATTCTTATCCCGGTCAGACTCGCCCCTCCTCCAAGACATCTCTCCGTTTTATTTTATTTGACTTTAGTTCTCGTTGAGTGATCGCTCCTTCCCTCTTCAGCGGATCCCTCCCCGCCTCCATCCTCGTCCTGTGGGAGAGACCAGCCTTCTGGTGTTGCAGTCAGGAATGGAGCTTGACAGCGCCCTGGGAGCCCCGTCGCGGGAAGAGTCTTCTTTGTCCGGGGAGTTGTCTCCCTCCGCCCTTGGACAGGCCTTCTCCAAGATTTTACACAGTCTTACCCGCCCGGAGGCACGACGAGGCAACGGAAAAGATGTAGCTCTTAAAGACCTCGGTGATCTAATAGAAGCCACCGAATGTGATAGGTTATTTGAGGGGAGTGGTGCACGGCTCCGCGGAATGCCGGAAACACTGGGGCAGGTGGCAAAAGCCGTGGAGAAGTATGCAGCCCCCCGCAAAGAGGAGGAAGGTGGAGGTGATGGGCACTCTGAAGTGGCCGAGAAAGCAGCCAAAGTTGGGTTACTGTTTCTTAAGCTGTTGGGGAAGGTTGAGACTGCTAAGAATTCCCTGGTCGGCCCTGCATGGCAGACGGGCCTGCATCACTTGGCAGGACCGGTTTATATTTTTGCCATCACACACAGCTTGGAGCAACCGTGGACCACTCCGAGATCTCGGGAGGTTGCTAGGGAGGTGCTCACCTTACTGCTTCAAGTTACTGAATGCAGTTCTGTGGCAGGATTCTTACGCGGAGAAAACGAAGATGAGAAAGGGAGTCTTTCGGTGATATTAGGGCTTCTGAAACCCGACTTGAATAAGTGAGTACTCCTGCCCTTTGCCACCGACTTGAGCCTCACAGTTTTTTATTTTTATTTTTTATTATTTATTTATTTTTGAGACAGAGTTTCACTCTTGTTGCCCAGGGTGGAGTGCAATGTTGCGATCTCGGCTCACTGCAACCTCCGCCTCCTGGGTTCAAGCGATTCTTCTGTCTCAGCCTCCGGAGTAGCTGGGATTACAGGTGCCCGCCACCACGCCCGGCTAATTTTTTGTATTTTTGGTAGAGACGGGGTTTCACCATGTTGGGCAGGCTGGTCGCGAACTCTTGACATCAAGTGATGCACGCGCCTCCGGCTCCCAAAATGCTGGGGTTTCAGGCGTGAGCCACTGCACCTGCCCTACCTTAATTTTTTAGAGCATTAGACCTCAAAGGAAGCTGAGTTTCTTCATCAGTAAAATAAGGGTGCTGTAACCACAGAACTCTTAAGGCCCAGAAACGTTGCGATTTGATATAAATGACATAACCGGATAGTGGCAAATTGGAGGTCATAACTGAGGTGTTCAGGCTCAGTTGTCCAGTGCTCTTTCCAGCGCTTAGGACGACTGCTTAGGAAAATTGGAAATTCTGTGCCACTTTCTTGGAGTTAATAATTACAAAATGTGGCCGGACGAGGTGGCTCACTCGTGTAATCCCAGCACTTTGGGAAGCTGAGGCGGGTGGATCACTTCAGGTCAGGAGTTCGAGACCAGCCTGGTCAACATGGTGAAACCCCATCTCTACTAAAAATACAAAAATCAGCGGGGCATGGTGGTGGACGCCTGTGATCCAAACTACTCGGGAGGCTGAGGCAGGAGAATCGTTTGAACCCGGGAGGCAGAGATTGCAGTGAGCTGAGATCGGGCCACTGCACTCCAATCTGGGCAAGAGAGCAAGACTACATCTCAAAAAAAAAAAAAAAATTGCAAATTACTGGAATTTGGTTGGGGGATTTGGAGAAGATTTAAACTTACGGTTTGAATTTAGACTTGGGGATCTTGAATGTCATTACCAGTTGTTAGATAAGGATGACTATCAGCTAAGGAAGCCATGTTTAGGATAAAGAGTGAATACCGGCCGGGCGCAGTGGCTCATGCCTGTAATCCCAGCACTTTGGGAGGCTGAGGCGGGCGGATCGCGAGGTCAGGAGATCGAGACCATCCTGGCTAACACGGTGAAACCCCGTCTCTAGTAAAAAAATACAAAAAATTAGCCGAGCATGGTGGCAGGCGCCTGTAATCCCAGCTACTCGGGAGGCTGAGGCAGGAGAATGGCGTGATCCCGGGAGGCGGGGCTTGCAGTGAGCCCAGATCGCGCCACTGCACTCCAGCCTAGGCGGCAGAGCGAGACTCTTGTCTCAAAAAAAAAAAAAAAAAAAAAGTGAAAAGCACCTTTAGATTGCTATTAAAGTTCTTTCAATGAGTTTCCACTTGCTACTTTGTTAGCACCGGAGTGATGAGAGAAGAAGTATCTGTAACTGTCATTTTACCAGGAACATGGAGTTAAAAGGCTTGATTTTGAGTTTTGTGCTTCTATTTGTTGCTCTGAGTAGGACTAGATTAGACAGTTTTCTGAATCCATTTGTTTCTAATATAAAGATAATATACTTGGCCGGGTGTGGTGGCTGACACCTGTAATCCCAATACATTGGGAGGCCAAGGCTGGCAGATCACTTGAGGCCAGGAATTCGGGACCAGCCTGGGCAACATGGTGAAACACCGTCTCTACTACAAATATAAAAATTATCCGGGTATAATGGTGCAAGTGTGTAATCCCACCTACTCAGGAGGCTGAGGCGGGAGAATCACTTGAGGCTGGGAGGTGGAGGTTGCAGTGAACCTAGATGGTGCCACTGCACTCCATTGTAGGCAATAGAGCGAGACTCTATTTCAGAATAAATAAATATAATATACCTATTACACTGTAATTATTTTGAGGATTAGTTAAATCACGTGTACACTCACTTTATTAGCTATTAACAGGTGTTCAAGTATTGATTCGTTTCCTTAGTGTAATAATACTAACACATTGCCTTTACTCCTCTCTCCCTTCTCAACATACCTTCACCATCCATCATCATAAGTCCTTTATGTAGCTCTGGTTATAATTGGCTCCTTCTCATTGGATAGGCTTTAGACCCAAAGACCTGGGTGATTAAGTATTTGGTGTAAGTTGTGGAAGTTATTTTAATCCAAATCTTAAAATGTATGATGTAGAATTAAGAGTTATCTTATGTGTGATGTATTTTTTTTTTTGCAAAGACATGAAAATACTCTGTTTAGCTTGAAGTAGTTTATTTTTTTGCTACTTATCACCATGTCACTTAATGTAATTTTATGTATCCATTTAGGGAATCCTGGAAGAATAACCCTGCCATCAAACATGTTTTCTCATGGACTCTGCAACAGGTCACTCGGCCCTGGCTGAGCCAGCATCTGGAAAGGGTACTTCCTGCATCATTGCTCATTTCAGATGATTATCAGACTGAGAACAAAATCCTGGGTGTACACTGTCTCCATCACATTGTGCTTAATGTGGTAAGCAACCTCTACCTTGTCATCCATGTTGATGGGACAGACTGAGTCATTCCTGGCTGTTCTTCTTTTCTGGTAATGCTAAGTCATTCAGCTTTACCTATTTGTATTTTTTCCTTATATTTTTCCTCTATCAACCTGGTAGAAGTTGTATCCTATAGGTAATGTAATAACTAAAATGATAATTATAGAAGAAACAGGAAGGCATGGGTCATTATCAAACCGAATAACCAGATCTTGAGAACTGGTGAACAGTTGACTTTTTTTTTTTTTTTTTTTTTTTGAGACAGAGTCTCACTCTGTCACATAGGCTTGAGTGCAGTGGCGCGATCTCGGCTCACTGCAACCTCCGTCTTTTAGGTTTAAGCAGTTTCTCCGCCTCAGCCTCCTGAGTAGCTGGGATTACAGGCGCGTGCCACCATGCCCAACTAATTTTTGTATTTTTAATAGAGACGGGGTTTCACCATCTTGGCCAGGCTGGTCTTCAACTCCTGACCTCGTGATCCACCCGCCTCAGCCTCCCAAAGTGCTGGGATTACAGGCGTGAGCCACTGCACCGGCCTACTTCCTTTGTTTCTTTTTTTTTTTTTTTTTTTTTTTGAGACATTATCGCTCTGTCACCCAGGCTGGAGTGTGATCTTCGCTCACTGCAGCGTCCGCCTCCCGGGTTCAAGTAATTCTCTTGCCTCAGCCTCCCTAGTAGCTGGGACTCCTCCCTAGTAGCTGGGGCTCCCTAGTAGTGGCCACCAAACCCAGCTAATTTTTGTATTTTTAGTGGAGACAGAGTTTCACCATATTGGCCAGGTGGGTCCCAAACTCCTGACCTCAGGTGATCTGCCTGTCTTGGCCTCCCAAAGTGCTGGGATTACAGAGATGAGCCATCACGCCCAGCCTACAGTTGACTTTCAAGTAGGAAAACAAAACAAAATCAGAATCTAAAAGGGACTATACCCAAATGTGGAAGCTATTACTCAAGGAAAAATTTTTTTAAAAATACTTTGTAGTATGGAGCTTTTAAAATATACATGGAAGTGGAGAGAGTGGTGTAATTAATCTCCATGTACCTGTAGGAGAGAGCCAGAGATCACCTCCAACCCTGCCCCCCTGCCTTTTTTTTTAAGTTTGAGGCAGAGTCTTGCTCTGTTGCCCAGGCTGGAGTGCAGAGGTGTGATCTCAGCTCACTGCAACCTCCGCCTCCCGGGTTCAAATGATTCTTGCACATCAGCCTCTGGGGTAGCTGGGATTATAGGCACATGCCACCATGCCCAACTAAAAATTTGTTTGTTTTTTGTAGAGGTAGGGTCTCGCCATGTTGGCCAAGCTGGTCTTGAACTCCTGGCCTCAAGCGATCCACCAACCTCAGCCTCCTAAAGTGCTGGGGTTGATTACAGGCATGAGCCACCATGCCCAGCCTCAGCCCCCTTTTTATCTCGTAGTGGGCTCTTTTCCTGGATCGAAAACTGAATTTGACAACAGGCAGATTAACAAGAGGAAGCCATACACATTTTATTAGTTTTACGTGTACATGGGGATCTTCACAAGAGAGAGAAGTCTGAAGAAGTGACCAAAGCAATATGCTTTTATTCTTTTTAGACAAAGAATTGATAAATTTTTCATCTTTTTTTTAAACTACCCCTAGCCAGATTTTCTTTGTCCTGTCAGAAAAAAATGACAGGACAAAGAAAATCTGGCTAGGAGCAGTAAACTCTCTCTCTCTCTCTCTCTCTCTCTCTCCTCGCCCTTTCTGAATCTACAGTTTCTCCAATATTCAACTCAAAACCATCATGATACCAATGTGGCATACTTTGGGATGGCATGTTCTTCATGCTTCATACCCATAATCCAATTTCAAAGATGGTCAACATTTGCCAATCTTGGGAAACTATTCTTTTAATTTGATACTTTGTCTGGTTTCAGCCAGCTGCTGATTTACTCCAATATAACAGAGCCCAGGTCCTGTACCATGCCGTTTTCAACCACCTGTACACACCAGAGCACCACCTCATTCAGGTAATAGTATCATTTCTTCATAACTGTGTCTGGATTCTCTGAATTTGAGTAGAAGGTTGCATTGTGTGAGTTAGTAATAATTGAGAGACATTTTCCTGCCTTGGAAAGTGAGGATGATAACTAAAAGCTGTTACCAAGTTAAAAATATCTCAGCACCAAGCAGGCCTCCACATTCCTGAGTCTCCACAGATAAGCCAGTGGTTTTTCTTCATCTGAGTCAATTGTATATTAGTTTGGGCCGGACGTGGTGACTCACGCCTGTAATCCCAGCACTTTGGGAGACTAAGGGAGGCAGATCACCTGAGGTCAGGAGTTCGAGACCAGCCTGGACAACATGCCAAAATCCCATCTCTACTAAAAATACAAAAAAATCAGTTGGGCATGATGTTGTGCACTTGTAGTCCCTACTACTTGGGAGGCTGAGGCACAAGAATTGTTTGAACCTGGGTGGCAGAGGTTGCAGTGAGCTGAGGTCACATCACTGTGCTCCAGCCTGGGTGACGGAGCGAGACTCCATCTCAAATTAAAAAAAAAAAAAAAAAAAAAGCAGGCGGTGGCTCACGTCTGTAATCCCAGCACTTTGGGAGGCTGAGGCGGGCGGATCACGAGGTCTGGAGATCGAGACCATCCTGGCTAATACGGTGAAACCTTGCCTCTACTAAAAATACAAAAAATTAGCTAGGCGTGGTGGCACGTGCCTGCAGCCCAGCTACTTGGGAGGCTGAGGCAGGAGAATCACTTGAACCCAGAGGCAGAGGTTGCAGTGAGCCAAGATCGCGCCACTGCACTCCAGCCTGGCAACAAAGCGAGACTCTGTCTTAAAAAAAAAAAAAAAAAAAGCAAAATTAGCCAGGTGTGGTGGTGCATGCCTCTAATCCCAGCTACTCAGGAGGCTGAGGCAGGAGAATTGCTTGAACCCAGGAGGCGGAGGTTGCAGTGAGCCAAGACCGTGCCATTGCACTCCAGCCTGGGCAACGAGCAAAACTACATCTCAAAAATAAAAAAGGTGCAGTGGGTATCAAGCAATAGGTAACTAACCAGGTATCAAGCAATAGGTAACTAACCAGGTTTGGGGTGACTTTAGGAGGCTTTGGGAAGGAGGTGATATTTACCTTTATGAAGGATGAATAAGTAAGTTTCTTAGGAGGGAGAAAGAAACTCCAAAGACAGAAGAAACAAGTTATACAAAATTAGAGGTGGAAGCAACCTTGTTTCTTTTTTATGCCTTACTTCCCTCCTTACCGCCTCCCCACCCTGCTGCCTTTTATTTTATTTAATTTTATTTTATTTTATTTTATTTTATTTATTTTATTTATTTATTTTGAGGTGGAGTCTCACTGTGTCAGCCAGGCCAGAGTGCAGTGGTGGGATCTTGGTGCATTGCAACCTCCGCCTCCCAGGTTCAAGTGATCCTTCTGCCTCAGCCTCCCTAGCAACTGGGATTACAGGCACGTGCCACCATGCCCAGCTAATTTTTGTATTACCTGAGACGGGGTTTCTCCATGTTGCCCAGGCTAGTCTCAAACCTCCTGACCTCAAGTGATCCGCCCACCTTGGCCTCCCAAGATGCTAGGATTACAGGCATGGGCCACTGCGCCCAGCCTCTTTTGATTTTTAAACAGTATTTTAAATACTGGGTATTGAGAATCTAGATTGTTAACAGCCAGAACTGCTAGGGTTCTTAAGGTGGTAGAGAAAAGAAATTTTAAAAAACCAAAACGCCAAGAGAAAAACCAGAGGTCCCAGGAAAGTTAAAAGGAAGTATCTAAACCAAGCTTATCCAACCCACGGCCTGCATGTGTCCCAAGATGGCTTTGCATGCAGCCCAATACAAATTTGTAAACTTTCTTAAAATGTTGTAAGATTTTTTTTGCATTTTTTTTTTTTTTAAAGCTCATCAGCTATCATTAGTGTTAGTGTATTTTATGTGTGGCCTAAGATAATTCTTCTTCCAGTGTGGCCCGGGGAAGCCAAAAGACTGAATACCCCTGGCCTAGACACTGCAACTTCAGCAGGTAGGGTGGCCAAATTTGACCCAGATTTGGAACATCTTAGATTCTGCTTAAGAGCAGTTTTATTAAAAGTATGTGTAAATACTGGCCGAGTGCAATGGCTCTCACCTCTACTCCAAGCACTTTGGGAGGCCAAGGCAGGTGGATCACTTGAGGCCAGGAGTTTGAGACCGGCCTGGACAACATAGCGAACCCCTGTCTCTACTGAAAAATAGAAAAGTTAGCCAGGCGTGGTGGTGCACACCTGTAGTGCCAACTAGTTAGGTGGCTGAGGCACAACAATCGCTTGAGCCTGAGAAGCAGAGGTTGCAGTGAGCTGAGATTGCACCACTGTCCTCCAGCCTGGGTGACAGAGTGAGACTCTGTCTCACAAAAAAAAAAAAAAAAAAAAAAGTGTAAATATCATGTATCACTAAGTCACTTAGACTTAGTGACATAGTAACAATAGACTTAGATTCCTAAAATCTGGGTTAAAGTCCCAGCTCTGCCATTTTTCCCATTTTATAAATTATAAATTTTATAAATTTATAAAAAGAATGGTCCTGAGGAGAATGTATTGATTTGAGACTGTGAGATGGAGATTAAGAATGGAAAAAAGTTTGAAAATGTAAAGTAATATGCACTTCATATATGATTACTAGTATCTTAGAATTCCTGGTATGGACCCTAAGGATGGTAGATTAATGGAGTTCTAGAGAGGTCCATTAGTATTATAAATGCAAATGGATGACCTATGCAGCGTCCTTCCATTCCTTCCTCCTAGGCTGTGCTCCTGTGTCTGCTGGATTTGTTCCCCATCCTGGAGAAAACCCTGCACTGGAAAGGAGATGGAGCTCGACCTACCACCCATTGCGACGAGGTCCTGCAGCTGATCCTGACCCACATGGAGCCAGAGCACCGCCTTCTCTTACGCAGGACCTATGCAAGAAACCTGCCGGCTTTTGTGAAGAGGTGAGTCCTTGGGTTTTTATTATTATTTTATAGAGACAAGATCTTGCTGTGTTGCTTGAGCTGGTCTCGAGCTCCTGGCCTCAAGCAGTCCTCCCACCTCAGCCTCCCAAAGTGCTGGGATTACAGGCATGAGCCACTGCACTGGCGTCATATTTTCTCTTTCATCTTTAGGTTGGGGATCCTAACTGTTCGGCACTTGAAGCGGCTGGAGAGAGTCATCATTGGTTATCTGGAGGTTTATGATGGACCTGAGGAGGAAGCTAGATTGAAGATATTGGAAACCCTAAAACTTCTCATGCAACATACTTGGCCCAGGTAATAGCAGCCTTAAGATGCAAAATTCGGCTGATTTTCTCTTGAGAACTTGCTTGGATGTATTTAATACATTCAGTACCAAGTATTAAATGTATACTATGTATTTGAATACCTCCCATTTTCACACACCTATAGGATTTTAAATTGAGAAAATGGCATTAGAAAGATAAAATATACTATAGTTACTTGAGGTGTTCATATTTGACTCTTTTACCAGGTATCAGTTCCAGATTCTGACACTATTAAATCACTTCTCTTTGAAACTGTAGTATATCTTTGTTTTTGTTTTTGTTTGTTTTTTTTTTGAGACAGCAATGTTGCCCAGGTTGGAGTCCAGTGGCTCAATCTCTGTGCACTGCAACCTCTGCCTCCCGGGTTCAAGCGATTCTCCTGCCTCAGCCTCCCAAGTAGCTGAGATTACAGGCACCCACCGCCAGGCCTGGCTAATTTTTTGTATTTTTAGTAGAGACGGGGTATCACTACGTTGGCCAGGCTGGTCTTGAACTCTTGACCTCGTAATCCACCTGCCTTGGCCTCTCAAAGTGCTAGGATTACCTGAGTGAGCCACCGTGCCCAGCCTGTTTGTTTTTCTTTTTTTGAGATGGAGTCTCGCTCTGTCACCCAGGCTGGAGTGCAGTGGCACAATCTCAGCTCACTGCAACCTCTGCCTCCTGGATTTGTGATTCTCCTGCCTCAGCCTCCCGAGTAGCTGGGATTACAGGCGCCTGTCACCATGCCTGGCTAATTTTTTTTGTATTTTTAGTAGAGATGATGTTTCACCATGTTGGCCAGGCTGGTCTCGAACTCCTGACCTTGTGATCCACCTGCCTCGGCCTCCTAAAAGTGCTGGGATTACAGGTGTGGGCCACTGTGCCTGGCTATATATCTTAAGAATGGTTTAGAGTGGTGTTTTGCAGAATCCCCATCTAGGTACTCTTTGATGCCCCACAGGAAAAAAAAAAATCTGTGGTCAAATAGATTGGGAAACCATAGAGGGTGCACATCTCTCTAGGTTTAAAATGCATATTAGAAGATTAAAGGTCATTTAGAAGTGTTGCAATAAAGACATTTGCTTTACTTTGTTAATCCTAATGTTCTTTAATTGAGAGCAGAGTACTTCATAGCACATCATTTAACATCTGCAGAGCAGTGATCAGAATACCAATCTAGAGGCCGGGTGTGGTGGCTAACACCTGTAATCCCAGCACTTTGGGAGGGCAAGGCTGGTGGATCACCTGAGGTCAGGAGTTCAAGACCAGCCTGGCCAACATGGTGAAATGCCTTCTCTACTAAAAATACAAAAATTAGCCGGGCATGGTGACACGCAACTGTAGTCCCAGCTACTCAGGAGACTGAAGCAGTAGAATCACTTGGACCCAGGAGGCGGAGGTTGCAGTGAGCTGCGATGGAGCCACTGTACTCCAGACTGGGTGATGGAGCGATGCTCTATCTCAAAAAAAAAAAAAAAAAAAAAAAAAAAAATATATATATATATATATATATATATATATAAAAATAGTAAAAGAATACTAATATACTAATGTAGGATATACTTGTTTGGAAATCATTCTAACTCTGGGTTGAGGTAGGTGTCAAGAACTGGAACCCAAACTGTTGAGTCAGCAGAAGCATCTCTTGGATAGCTGAAAGTTGAATTGAGCCAGAGAATCCACTGCCCCAACAACATATAGTATCTATTCTGGACCATATTCTCTCACTTCCTTATAAATGTGCAAGGAATCCAGAGTAACATTCCCCCATGACAACCTTTCCCTTAGTCATATTGGTAACTAGGTTGCATTTGTTTACTATCTTTGTCCCTACTGAATTATAAACTCCAGGATAACGGAAAACCACATCTATTATGTTCTCTCAAAGTATGCTCAGTACCTGGTATTAGGTATACAAATATTTGAAGAATGAATGAACTGGAAGATAATGAATCAATGGATGAATAAAGTTGAATCAGATTGTCAGGTCTTTAAAGAGCAGAGGCTAAGATTCCAAGAAGGGAGAGTGAATTAAATGCAGGGAGGTAGAAAAGGAATATGGGTATGAGGGGGTAGAACATGGGAAATGGAAAATAGAGCCATTTATAAGTTGAATAACAGATGGAGGGCTGAGAGGCACCCAAACCATAGGAAAATGAGGAGTATCTAGATAAAGAGATGAACACTTTTTTCTCCCAGTCATGCATCTGTCCATAAATATGATTTATTGTACATTTCACATTGTGTTTTCACATTGTAAGTTAATTTATTTTCCACCTTTCATTAAGGTTTTTTTAGGGTTTTTTTTTATTGTGGTAAAAATACATACACATTTTACATTTTAAAGTGTACAGTTCAGTGGCATTAAGTACAGTCACAATATTGTGCAATCACTAGCATCGTCCATTTCCAGAACTTTACCAAGGCGATAGTAGAAAGGTTTATAGTTTAGAAAGGTTAATAGTTACAAGTATGTAGGCTGGATTTCACTGATGAGCTAGGATCTGAAATTAAATGACAGAAAATTCAACTTGACACTAAGTCCCAGAAGCCAAGCTCATTTCCCCTACTCTGTCTTCAACTTGCAGGCCTAAGATGGCATTGAAGTTAAAGGATTGAGAGCTCTCTGCAAGCATAGTTCAGTTAATAGAGTTGAAAAATAAAAGTATAGGCCCTTGATTAGGGGAGATCCTGGTTTCCCCTTCTCAGCCCATGAAGGAGCTGTTGCTTACAGTAGAACCAAGCTTCTGGAAGGGAGAGAGCAGTGTGGCAGAGGGTGTGTGTGTGTGTGTGTGTTTGTGTGTGCAGTATGCTAACAGGAGACTTGAGGGTAAGAAATCTAGAGGCTGTCTTTGGTTCTGTTTTTAGGTTTTTTTCATTTAACTTTGACCCAAGTTCCTTAATTTATGAAATGAGGGTTTTCCACTTGACAGTCTTTGAAGTCTCTTCCAATTTTAATATCTAGGTTTACAGTAAGAACATAGCTTTTCTTTTTGGTTCCAGAGTTTCCTGCAGACTTGTGGTCTTACTGAAGGCTCTCTTGAAACTGATCTGTGATGTAGCAAGGGATCCAAATCTTACACCTGAGTCTGTTAAGAGTGCCCTGCTACAGGAGGCCACAGACTGCCTGATTCTCCTGGACCACTGCTCTCAAGGACGGGTAAAGGTAAGGCAGACTGAAACTTGGTTTCAGTTGGGCCTCATTATCTTTATGTAATTCCTATGACTGATTGTAATTTACCATGTATGTGCCTGACCAAGTCTGGAAATGAAGGGTTTTAGGTCTCCATATGAGCCCTCTAGCCTCAAAAGAACTTGATCTTTTTTCTTATTCATCTTTTAAAGCTATTCAGAACCATTTAGAACTAAAAGCAGGAGGATCAGCACATGTCACCAGGGCTAAGGACAAGACAGAATGGGCAAAAGCATTGTGATCAAAAGTTTGTAAAATTTAACTTCTGTTCTAGTCTTCTGAATTAAAAAAAAAAAAAAAAAAAAAAAAAGTAAAAATAATGGGCTATAAGCTCCCAGGAATAATATAAATAGAGCATTTCAGATGTTTCCAGTTTTTTAGGGACAACCACCGTTTAGGTAGATGTTTTTCCCTATTCTTTTTTTTTTTTTTTGAGACGGAGTCTTGCTCTGTCCCCCAGGCTGGAGTGCAGTGGCACGATCTTGGCTCACTGCAAGCTCTGCCTCCCGGGTTCACGCCATTCTCCTGCCTCAGCCTCCTAAGTAGCTGGGACTACATGTGCCCGCCACCGCGCCTGGCTGATTTTTTGTATTTTTTGTAGACACAGGGTTTCACCGTGGTCTCCATCTCCTGTCCTTGCGATCCGCCCGCCTCAGCCTCCCAAAGTGCTGGGATTACAGGCGTGAGCCACCACACCGGGCCCCTAATCTTAATTTATCTACATGGAAATTCTTCCTTTGGTTTCATATTCCACAAAAGTTAACTTCTCAAAGCCACAGCATATAATAGCTGTGTACTTCTATGTATCTAATAAACGATTGCCTCATTTCTTACCCCTTTTAGAAATCTTTAGTTGAAAGACTGAAGGTAGCATGAAAATAAATTCATGCCATAACTCACTGGACAATCTACCCAGCAGGAAAAAAAAAAAAATTCATATCCTAAAAATATGTAGAGATGGTATGAATTGTTATTTTACCAGTTTATTCAAACTATTTCATCTTCACTCTTTAATCTTGGGCGTTTTCAAGCCCTAGATTCAACTTAATTTGCCTTGGCTGGAATTCTGCTGTTTCATGAGCCAGCAGGAGATTTCCAAGCACATTAATAAAGTTTTTAAAGTAACACCTTCAATACATAAGAGCTACATAAATTTAAAAATAGTAATAAAAAAAACCTAATACCTATGCTGTTTTGTGACCTGTCCCCAAGTGTCATCCATTCTTTTCTCCTTTGAATATGATACCAAGGAAGAAGAATCAAGCAAAAGGGGAAAAAAGTGATAAAAAAAAAAAAATCAAAGCCTGTTTGGTTTCATGTTTCAGGGTCTCCTGGCCAAAATTCCCCAAAGCTGTGAAGACAGAAAGGTGGTGAACTGTATCAGAAAAGTGCAGCAGGTTTCTGAAGGTGCTCCCTACGATGGAACTTAAGACTTGCATTACTTTCCCAAGAGGAAAGGATTTTCTTCCCATCCCAATTTGTATGAATGGAGTTATTTAAGAAAAAAAAAATACTTTTACACGAAACTTTGGAAGTGAGAGCTGCCTTTTCCTTCTTTCTTTCCTTTTACCTCCATAGGAGTAGGGAAAGTAGAACAAGAAAAAAATTGAACTCCTTCCATTTCTAAATAAAGTTTGGGAGAAAAAAGGACACCAAGGAATGTAGCATTTAAAATTTAGAAATATTTACATCCGTCATCTCATCCCAGATCCAAGAACTCATCTGTTAAGTTTCTCGGGCACAAGCTGTTACTGCAACACATATGCTATAAAAATACTCTTGTTCACAACTTAGCTTTCTTCACTCACTCCAGATTTCTTGCCCCACTGTCGTGGCATAAATAATAAAAACACAAATATTGTGTTCAACACAACACAAAAGAGCAAAAACTGGAGGTGTGTATGTGTTTTTTTTTTTTTTAAAAAAAGAAACAGTTCTGTATGTTCAGTCCTGGGTATAAATGTTGAAAGGGAAATCACGTGGTTTTGGCCTTGGCCATGGACTCTGTCTCCTGCTCATATTCTATTTCCACATAGGCTCGTTTTCTCCGCAGTGGTCCTCTCAAGGGCGTTTTGCCTTTGTGTTTTGCACTAAGGGCCTTTTCTTCCTCCTCCTCACTGGAGGATTTACCATCCTGATCTTCATCACTGCTGGCATCCAGTTTATCCATATCCTAATACGGAGAGAAAAGATAAAGGAGGAGGGAAAACACTAGATTTCTCCAAACTCCCTTCATTGTCCCCTCTATTTAGAATAGACTAGGGAATTGATTTGTCTATGTCTATGTTCAGTAATTGTCCCGTTTCTTTCTTTCTTTCTTTTTTTTTAAGATAGGGTCTTGCTCTGTTGCCCAAGCAGGAGTGCAGTGGCATAGTTATGGCTCACTGCAGCCTCAAACTGCTGTAGTCAGGCAATCCTCCCACCTCAGCTTCCTGAGTAGCTGGTACTACAGGGAACCGCCACCACATCCAGCTGAAATTTTTTTTTTTTTTTTTTGAGACAGAGTCTCGCTCTGTTGCCCAGGCTGGAGTGTAGTAATGCAATCTCAGCTCACTGCAACCTTCACCTTCTAAGTTCAAGCAATTCTTCTGCCTCAGCCTCCCAATTAGCTGGGATTACAGGCATGCACCACCATGCCTAGCTAATTTTTGTATTTTTAGTAGACACTGGGTTTTGCCATGTTGGCCAGGCTGGTCTCGAACTCCTGACCTCACATGATCCGCCCGCCTCGAGGTGATCAGCCCACCTCGGCCTCCCAAAGTGCTAGGATTACAGGCATGAGCCACTGCACCTGGCCAATGATTTTTAAAAATGTTTAGGCCAGGCACAGTGGCTCATGCCTATAATCTTAGCACTTTAGGAGACTGAGGCAGGCAGCTTACCTGAGGTCTGGAGTTATAGACCACCCTGGCCAGCATGGTGAAACCCCGTCTCTATTAAAAATACAAAAAATTAGCCAGGTGGAATGGCACATGCCTGTAATTCCAGCTACTTGGGAGATTGAGGGAGGAGAATTGCTTGAACCCGGGAGGCTGAGGTTGCAGTGAGCCCAGATCGCTCCATGGCATCCTTAGAGATGAGGTCTCACTATGTTGCTCAGGCTGGTCTTTTTTTTTTTTTTTTTTTTTTTTTTTTTGAGACGGAGTCTCGCTGTGTCGCCCAGGCTGGAGTGCAGTGGCCGGATCTCAGCTCACTGCAAGCTCTGCCTCCCGGGTTTTTACGCCATTCTCCTGCCTCAGCCTCCCGAGTAGCCGGGACTACAGGCGCCCGCCACCTCGCCCGGCTAGTTTTTTGTGTTTTTTAGTAGAGACGGGGTTTCACCGTGTTAGCCAGGATGGTCAGGCTGGTCTTTTAACTCCTGAGCTCAAGCAGTCCTCCCATTGTGGCCTCCCAAAGTACTGCGATTATAGGAGTGAACCACTATGCCTGGCCACCTCCCTGTTTTTTTTTGCTGCAGGCAAAAGGACAATCTTTTTACCCATGAAGCTCACCTCAAAATCACTTATGTCACTCTCATCTACCTCATCATCTTCGACAAATTCTCTTTTCCCCACATCCTATAAATAAAACGTAACTGTTAGGTTCAGAATATATAATGAAGATTCAGATAAGACATCTAAGTAAGTACAAAATAACATAATCAGAACCACAGTCTATTCACTAGGCAACCAAAATTTAGTTCTTCCTAAGTTTAATGCTTCCGAATTTTAAAAATTTTAGGGCTACCAGATCATTCTTATTCTTGATTTACATTATTAGCAATAAAACATCCTCATTATGGTTAAAAACTAGACACAGACAGGAAAGGCTTTATAATTTGTCACCTTGCAGGAACAATTTTACAAGACCAATAAATTAAGACTAAAACTGTTAATCGTTTGTTGGTTAGCCTGAAGAACAGAGCAACCAGTGCTAAACCAAAATTAATCACGTGAAAGAAAAAAGAAGACATATCATTTTTGGTTGGCGGACTAAAGATGATATTCTGTTTGTCAGTTATATACAAATAGTATCTAGTAGGTTTGGCAAAACAAAAACAAGACTTACTTCCTCCTCATCATCATCATCATCTTTTTCCTCAGCATCAGAAGAGTCACTCTCTGCCTCCTGTTGTTCCAGGGCCTTGTCGAAGGCGTGAATGGGGAAGTTGTAGATGTCGCCATACTGAAGAACATAAACACAGATTGGCTTTAACTACATTTGGATATTACACTTGAAGTTCCACTGTCTGTGGAGAATATTATTTTTTCCTCAGTGATTAAATCAGAATACTTAATTCGATGAGTAATATTTTAAGTGTAAAGCCAGCAGTGTCTTTAAAAAGCATGTTCTTTTGAACATTTAAATCATCTGTAGTTAGTATCAAATAGGTAACTTCTATGGAGTTACATTTTAAAATCATTTAAAATGTAATCGTCTATGAAACCCATGCATTGGGACAAATGTAATTTTGCTGACAAGGGGAAATAATAAGGACAAAGCATACTTTAGTCATGTTGTCTGTATAAACAACACTAATTTTTAAAAAGAGAATAAAAACTTATTTCAAAGAGCCTTAAAAGACTAGGGTAATATGTAAGAGAAGCAAAACCCCATGGCTTTTATACAGAAATCCGGAATCGTCGTCTTGGTGAATCAAGGGTAACCAAAGCATTTTATGTGCTTGCATTAATTAAAACAAGGAAGCCAGGCCGATATGGATTTATTTTATTCCAGGGATAAAATTCGAGTGGAGATCTTCATATCAGGTTAAAAAACATTTCCCAGCCAGGTGCGGTGGCTCAGGAGTTCAAGACCAGCCTGGCCAAGATGGTGAAACCCCGTCTCTACTAAAAATACAAAAATTAGCTGGGCGTGGTGGCAGTGCCTGTAATCCCAGCTACTCGGGAGGCTGAGGCAGGAGAACTGAACTCTGGAGGCAGAGGTTTGAAGTGAGCCGAGATTGTGCCACTGCACTCTAACCTGGGCGACAAAGCAAGACTCCATCTCAAAAAAAACCCCAAAAAACCCTATGTGTCTTTGCAACATACTACCACTTAAAATTTCAGTACCCCAAAGCTAATGGCTTTCTCACCGTATCCTGTTTCAGTCTCTCCAGTAATTCCTTCTCAATGGCATTGTCCAGCTGAGCAGCTATTAATGCCTTTTCCTATAAGGGGGAAAGAACAAATCCATTTAATTCATCAGTGCTCATTATTCATCTTATAAAAATGGAAGACACTACGAAGTTGTTTATAAGAAAGACAATGTAATCATTTCCCCTCCTTGCTATTACTGGTTTTTGCCTCTCCAACCAGATAAATTTCTTCTTCTTTCTCTTGTAAACTTTCTTCAGGACATTTCCATTTTGAAATTCCTATGGTTTTGTAAACAACATTCTAAATTAAATTCTAACAAAGCCTTTGACGGATACAAAACATGTAGGTCTATATACATTTAAGTGTCTCAGAAATAATCTAGCAACTCTGGAGCCAGACTTTGTAAAAGCTGAGAAAAGAGAACAGAAATCTTCATTCATTTACATTTTCTAAAATCATGTTAGATTCCATGTGACAGAATAGGTAAAAATCTCTTCCTCCAGTTTTCTCTCATTGGAGATGATACATGACATCAACCTGTACTACCGCACAGTAGCCTAGGATGGTGCATTAATTTGACAGTAAAAGTCACAGAGGGTTTTAAAGTGTTATACCTATAAGTTATGTTAGAATGATTACCTAAAACTGTGTAGGGGCACATGGATCAGTTAAAAGGCTACAGCGATGTTCCGTGTTGTTCTCTAGAGTGGGGTGCTTACACTTCAAGGGTATCCGATGAAGTGTAGGAAGAAAATATTCAAAACTTCCACGTTATCTTTTTCCTTAAAAAAATTAAACATCATTACTACTTTTCTTGTACACTGACATCTGTGCCTTGACTCTGTCTATAAATAGTTGTGTGTCAGATACAGTAAGCCAGATATCTCAAGGGAGGAATACTGCACATAGGGCTTGTAAGTGGTGGTCTCAGTCCTTTATTTAGACGACTATTTAACTGTTTATGTTTGCTTAGTTAAGTGGATTCATAGATTACACTGAATATTCTGCCAAAGATAGAGAGTAGTTATAAAAGTATGCTGGTTATCTAATGGGTTAGTGCTTTTAAAAGTTGTAGAACTAGGCTGGCAAGGTGACCCACGCCTGTAATCCCAGCACTTTGAGAGGCCAAGGTGGACAGATCACCTGAGGTCAGGAGATCAAGACCAGCCTGGCCAATGTGGTGAAACCCCGTCTCTACTAAAAACACAAAAAATTGGCCGGGCCGAGTGGCATATGCCTGTAATCCCAGTTACTCAGGAGGCTGAGGCACAAGAATTGCTTGAACCCAGGAGGTTTAGGTTGCGGTGAGCCAGGATAGCGCCACTGCACTCCGGCCTGGGTGACAGAGTGAGAGGTGTAGAACCTAAAAATGATCCATGCATTTTTCACGAAAAGAAAAATACTCCAAATTTGCCAATCTTTTTATGTAACCCAGTAGAAGTTTTTAAAAATAAATACACTTAATCTGTTTCTTCCAGACAAAGGCAACATTTTAATAGTTTGAGGAAGACAATTGTTTTTTGGAAAAAAACTTGTTGTTCTGTGAACATTGTGAAAAGTGATTGTATCTATATATGGCACTGCTGAAAACATGTCTCCTATAAAAACTGCAATCACACACTTTAGAAATGTGGAAACAGAATATTGTAATCCATTTAAAACTCTTCCAAATCTACATTTTTCAGAGGGTTTCTATTTTCACTCAATTGGTGAAAATAGAAAAAAAATAATTTTTTCCGAAAGGTTTAAAGAACACCTGTTTGACAATTGGAGATGAAAACTCACTAACTGGACTTGAAAAAAAGCCGCTCCATAACTGATGGAGCATAATGAAGAATTAAAGTACTTAAGACCACCTATTGACAATGCACTTCTCTACAATTCCTCAGTTATGACAGCCCTTCAAGACAACATACTCAGCTAAGAACCAGACTTTTGTTTCACTACGTCACAATTAGTTACAATACACATCATGTTATTAGTGGAAGTGTATATGTATAATAACGTTTATAGCCTATAATCCCAGCACTTTGGGAGGCTGAGGTGGGTGAATCACCTGAGGTTGGGAGTTTGAGACCAGCCTGGCCAACACAGTGAAACCCCGTCTCTACAAAAAATACAAAAATTAGCCGGGCCTGGTGGTGCATGCCTGGAATCCCAGCTACTAGGGAGGCTGAGGCACAAGAATCGCTTGAATCTGGGAGGCGGAGGTTGCAGTGAGCTGAAATTGCACCACAGTATTCCAGCCTGACAGACAGAGCGAACCTTTGTCTCAAAATAAAATATTTATAAATAACATTGGGGAGTACATGTTCAAAAATTTTATTGAGGTGAGCACAAGTTTGCAGACCAATGATACAGATTTTAGACACATAACTCTGTGATTAATGGGGACAGAAGAATCAAAAGAAAAGCTATCCCTACCAAAATACCAATGACAAATGTAAATATTAAAAAAAAGAAAAATACCAATGACATTCTTCACAGAAATAGAAAAAACAATCCTAAAATTTTTATGAAACCACAAAAGATCTAGGATAGCTAAAGCTATCCCAAACAAAACAACAGAAAAAAAAAAAAACCAAGCCAAACCAAACAAAACAAAACAAAAACCAAGAGGAATCACATTACCAAACTTCAAATTATACTATGGACTATAGCAACCAAATCACTATAGTAATGGCATAAGAACAGACACAAAGCCCAATGGAACAGAATTGAGAACCCAGAAACAAATCCACACACGTCCAGTGAACTCATTTTCGACAAAGGTGCCAAGAACATACACAGGGGAATAGACAGTCTCTTCAATAAATGGTGCTGGAAAAACCTAACATCCATATGCAGATAAAGGAAACTAGACCCCTATCTTGTGGTATACATAAAAATCAAACCAAAATGGACTAAAAAAATCTAAGACCTCCAACTATAAAACTACGAGAAAACACTGAGAAAACTCCAGGTCATTGGTCTGGGCAAAATTTCTTAACATCCCACAAGCACAGGTAACCAAAGCAAAAATGGACAAATGGGATCACATCAAGTTAAAAAGCTTCTGCACAGCAAAGGAAACAACAAAGTGAAGAGACAACCCACTGACTGGGCAAACTATCCACCTGACAAGGGATTAATAACCAGAATATAGGCCAGGAGTATAATCCCAGTACTTTGGGAGGCTAAGGCAGGTGGATCACCTGAGGTCACGAGTTTGAGACCAACCTGGCCAACATGGCAAAACCCCATCTCTACTAAAAATACAAAACAAACAGCCAGGCATGGTGCTGGGCGCCTGGCATCCCAGCTACTTGGGAGGCTGAGGCACAAGAATTGCTTGAACCCCGGAGGCAGAGGTTGCAGTGAGCTAAGATTGCCCCACAGCACTCCAGCCTGGGTGACAGAGCGAGACTCCATCTCAAAAACAAAACAAAACAAAACAAAAAAACCCAGAATATATAAGGAGCTAAAACAACTCTATAGGAAAAAATTCTAATTATTGGATTAAAAAGTGGACAAAAGGGTCAGACACGGTGGCTCACAGCTGTAATCCCAGCACTTTGGGAGGCTGAAGTGGGTGGATTGCTTGAGCCCAGGAGTTCAAGGCCAGCATGGGCAACATAGTGAAGTCCCATCTCTACAAAAGATACAAAAATTAGCCAGGCATGGTGGCATGCACCTGTAGTCCCAGCTATGTGGGAGGCTGAGGCATAAGAATCACTTGAGCCCAGGAGGCAGAGGTTGCAGTGAGCCAACATCGCACCACTGCACTCCGACCTAGACAACGGAGTAAGACTCGGTCTCAAAAAGAAAAAAAAAAAAGGCAGGGGGCAGGGATTGGGGAAGCAAAAGATCTGAATAGATGTTTTTCAAAAGACATACAAATGGCAAACAGGCATATGAAAAGGTGTTCAACATCACTGATCATCAGAGAAATGCAAATCAAAACGAGATATCTCACCCCAGTTAAAATGGCTTTTATCCTTCAAAAGACAGGCAATAACAAATGCTAGAGAGGATGTGGAGAAAGGGAACCCTTGTACCCTGTTGGTGGGAATGTAAATTAGTACAACCACTATGGAGAACAGTTTGGAGCTTCCTCAAAAAACTAAAACTAGAGCTACCATACTATCTAGCAGTCCCACTTCTTGGTACAGACCCAAAAGGAAATTAGTATATCAAAGAGATACCCACACTCCATGTGTGTTACAGGTCTGTTCACGATAGCCAAAATTTGGAAGCAACCTAAGTGTCCATCAACAGATTAATGGATAAAGAAAATGTGATACTTATACACAATAGAGTACTATCCAGCCATTAAAAAGAATGAGATTCTGTCATTTGTAACAATATGGATGGAACCGGAGGTCATAATGTTAAGTGAAAGAAGCCAGGCACAGAAAGACAATCATTGCACATTCTCACTTATTTGTGGGATCAAAAAATCAAAACAATTGAAATCATGGATATACACAGTAGAAGGATGGTTACCAGAGGCTGGGAAGGGTAATGGGGGTGGGGATGATTAATGGGTATCCCCCGCTAAAAAATAGCAAGAATGAGTAAGACCTAGTATTTGGTAGCAGCACAACAGGGTGACTACAGTCAATAATAATTTAATTGTACATTTTAAAATAACTGTAAGTATAATTGAATTGTTTGTAACACAACGGATAAATGCTTGAGGGGATGGATGCCCAATTTTCCATGATGTTATTACTCACTGCATGGCTGTACTGTATTTCACTGCAGAAATTCCATTTGATTAGAATGCTCAAAATCTACTAAAGGGGTTATGTAGTATGTAAAATAGGCAACATCAAAATTCTGAATTCTGAAATATTTGACCACAAGAATTTCAGACAAAGGAGTTGTGGATTCTTTCTGTTCTCCATTACATATATCCCCAAAGCACACATACTTTAACCTGTGCTGAAAATCATAATCTTAAAAATCAAACGTCTTAGGCAACTAATAGTTATCTATTAGTGAACCATTATCCAGGGCCTGAACAGTTTACACACATGATGGTGACTGAATCTATAAGAGCCCCTCAGAAAGAAAATGTAGAAGGTATGAATAGCACAACAATAAGTTACCTCTCTTCTTTTCTCCCTACGCTCCACCTTCTTACTCAAAGGAACAAGTTTCCTCCTAAGGGAAAGAAAATATATCAGAAAATCCTCTGTCATGTGCTGTGTTCCTTTTAAAGAAGAGAAGAAAAAAGGACTGGAATTGGTGCTGTGGGTCTCAGCTCAATACAGCAAGATACACTAAATGCTTCTAGAAATTTAATGCTATAAAAAGTCACATATTTTTACATATATTTTAATCTGGCCATTTTTGTTTAGGCATTCTGGGATTCTCAGGGCATTCACCATGCTAAAATTAAGACTTCAGTGAACTAAGAAAAAAGAATTTTCTGTCGAAGTCTGACATCATCTTTAGCATTCTCTGTAGATCACAATCAAAAAGCATTAGGGCCTAACAGTCCTAGAGGAGGTATTCTGTTAATTCTGGGGATTTCATATCACTTTTAAAAATTAGTTTTCAGTGAATCCAGAGTAAAGTTCTTACAGTCCTGTATATTCAATGTCTTAGATTATTTTCAAATGTCTAAAGTTAAGATTCCCTCAGGGGTCATAGAGGAAATTTTCTGAAGGCTAGGCATGGTAGCTCATGCCTGTAATCCCAGCACTCTGGGAGGCTGAGGCAGGCGGATCACTCGAGGTCAGGAAATCTAGACCAGCCTGGCCAACATGGTGAAACCCTGTCTCTACTAAAAATACAAAAAAAATTAGCCAGGCATGGTGGTCCATGCCTGTAATCCCAGCTACTCAGGAGGCTGAGGTGGGAGGATTGCTTCAACAGGGGAGGTGGAGGTTGCAGTGAGCTGAGATCAAGTCACCGCAAATTCCAGCCTGGGCAACAGAGTGAGACTCTGTCTCAAAAAAAAAAAAAAAGAAAAGAAAATTTTCTGGAAGATTTTCAGACAAGGAGGGTGATAATCAAGTTGTATTCTACTGTTTTAAAAGTCCTGCCATATCAAAGGGCACACCTTTAGTCTAAAGTTTCTTCTTAGTACATAATAACAGACTCCACAAAGTTGAAATAGAAAGCCCCGAAGTTTCACAATTTCTCAACTTCAAAACAAGCTCCACGAAAAGATAGATTTAAAAATAGTGAAGGATCCAAATACTTACTGTCGCTTTAGTGTAAGTTTTCTAATTCGAATTAGGTATTGGGTGATCTTGGTGAATCTCTGCTTACATTTGTGTCGAATGAAACGGGGCCAGTAAATCAGATTTTCATCTATTTGCTCCAGTGCTTTCTCATAGTTTTTACTAAGCCGGACCTACCAAACAGAAAAAGGAACTTTGAAGGGCAAGCGTAAATGATTCATTAGGTTTTCACTGTCAGTGACACCTATGGCCTAATGAGGATGGCCCCAAAAGTTTAATCTAGATATGGTCATGGAATTGGGCATCATGGTGGTCAAGCCTGTGGCATTGAGGCTCTTGATCAGTGGTCACTGTAGCTTTGTTGTAAGGCTTACCCGTTCCCAAAGACGCCGAGGAAAAGCTGCTCGTTCTATAACCTTCATATACAAGTAGCACTGTCCTGAGGATAAAGTAAAATAGCTTTAGTGTTATTTACAGAAACTAAAGAACATCCCTATAAAAGCTGTGGGCAGTTCTTCTAGAAGTTAAAACTGGGGAGTTACCTTTCTCTTCTTTAATAGTGGCATACTGACTATTTGCCAGGGGACAGGATGACCGATTACACAGTCCAGTCAGGCTATATTCATTTCGGCAGAAGCTCTGAGTCTTGGTTCTAGAATGGGAGAAAAGAAACAAAGATTATAAAATGGGTTACCAAAAAGGCAACTGAAGGAATCTTTGATCAAGTTGTAAATCCAGACTCACCTTATTTTGAAGGAACAAAATTGCTTGTTTCCTAGTGTATCCCAGATAACCTGCAAGACAAAGTAAAAGCCCATTTCAAATCCTCTGCCCCAAGAGATACTATATTAACTCAAGAAGGCAATGCCCAAGGACAGGAATGAGAGGAAGAAATGTTTTGTAAAATAGCCTGACTTGTTTACTTTTTAAAATACAAACAGCAAGGCCAGGCACAGTGGCTCACGCCTGTAATCCCAGCACTTTGGGAGGCTGAGGCAGGCGGATCACCTGAGGTCAGGAGTTTGAGACCAGCCTGATTAACATGGAGAAACCCTGTCTCTACTAAAAATACAAAATTAGCTGGGCATGGTGGCGTATGCCTATAATCCCAGCTACTTGGGAGGCTGCGGCAGGAGAATCGCTTGAACCCAGGAGGCGGAGGTTGCAGTAAGCCAAGATTGTGCCATTGCACTCCAGCCTGGGCAACAAGAGTGAAACTCCATCTGAAAAAAAAAAAAAACCCGGCTGGGCGCGGTGGCTCACGCCTGTAATCCCTGCATTTTGGGAGGCCAAGGCAGGCAGATCACGAGGTCAGGAGATCGACACCATCCTGGTTAACATGGTGAAACCCCATCTCTACTAAAAATACAAAAAATTAGCCGGCATAGTGGCGGGCGCCTGTGGTCCCAGCTTCTCGGGAGGCTGAGGCAGGAAGGAGAATAGTGTGAACCTAGGAGGCAGAGCTTGCAGTGAGCAGAGATTGTACCACTGCACTCCAGCCTGGGCGACAGCAAGACTCCATTTCACCAAAAAAAAAAAAAAAAAAACAAACCCCAGCAGATTCTAATAGAAAAGCTAAATACGGATCAGCAATAATCATAACTCCATTACCCAGAGATAAAATTTCATTACAATTTTGTAAATATTTTTCCAGTTTTTTTTTGGACATGCTCTGTGAGATCACATTATATATACTTAATAACTTTCCTTTTTTACTTATGTTCATTATCCATTATTAAAGGCTTCATGGGCCAGGCGCAGTGACTCACACCTGTAATCCCAGCACTTTGGGTACCAAGGCAGGCAGATCACTTAAGGTCGGGAGTTTGAGGCCAGCCTGGCCAACATGGTGAAACCCCATCTCTATTAATACAAAAATTGGTCGGGTGTGGTGGCAGGTGCCTGTAATCCCTGCTACTTGGGAGGCTGAGGCAGGAGAATCGCTTGAACCCAGGAGGCAGAGGTTGCAGTGAGCTGGGATCACGCCACTGCACTCCAGCCTGGGCAACAGAGTAAGAATCCATCTCAAAAAAAAAGGCTTCAAGGTATTAGATTTTTAGATATACATACCACATACCATAATTTCATCTCATTGAGGGCAAAGAAAACTATCTACTGCTATCCTCCTATAACTAATTTGCTCTTTATTCATTCAGCATTATATACTTAATTTATGTAAGGCACTGATCTCTCCAAGTCCTGACACACAGTAGCCACTTAAGTATTTACTGAATGAAAGAAAAGTTTTGTCTATATAGTTAGGGGGAAAGATATGTAAACAAAGTATCACAAAATAGCAGGTCTAAAGACCACATAGCATGCATAAGAGTATGACAGCCTTTGAGTGCACTGCTTTGAGGAACTGGGGAAAAAAAGCTTTACCACTATTAAAGGAAAAATATGAAGAGGGCAAAAGAATAAAACACACTTTGAGAATCTTATAGGTGTGTCTGGTGGGCGATGATAGGAAACAGGTAAGAAGAATAAGGGAGCTCTTTTAGACTTGTGGCTTTAAGTGTCATCTCTGATACTTAAATAAATGGATGACTCCCAAATTGTTATTTCCTGACTTGTTTCCTGAGCACCAGATTTGTATATGACATCTCCACTTCAATATCTAAAAGGCAACATAAATATTAACATATCCACATGAAATTCTCAATTCCACATCCCTCATAAGAACAGTCTTCCCTAGAGTTCCCCCACTTCAATAAATAAAATCACCATTGAACTGTGTATTTATATCCCAAATCCTTTGATTTCTTCCTTTTCTTCTTCACTTAATCCATCACCAAAGTCTTGTCGTTATACTGACGTAACAGGTCTCAAATTCATCAATTTCTTTTCATCTCCACCATTAAATTACTACCTTAGGCGAAGCTACTTTAGTTTTTTAAAAAATTTTACTTTAGAGACAGGGTCTCTCTGTCACCCAGGCTGGAGTGCAGTGGCGCCATCATAGCTCACTGCAGCCTCGGACTCTTGGGCTCAAGTAGTCCTGTCTCAGCCTTCGAAATAACTGGGACCTCAGGCGAGCACCACCACGCCCGGCTAATTTTTTATTTTTTGTAGAGATGGAGTCTCACTTTGTTGCCTAGGCTGGAATCGAACTCCAGGCCTCAAGCAATCCTCTAGCCCTAGCCTCCCAAAGTGTTGGAATTACAGGCATGAGCCACTGCATCTGGCTCGAAGCAACCTTCCTCATACCCTAGTCTCCCTGCTTTCATTTTTTCTCTCCAAAAGTCCTTCACGCAGCAACCAGACAATTTTTCACAAACATAGATCATTAAAAGGCCTAAAAACACTTACTACAACACTCTACATGACCTCTCCCTGGCAAGCATATCTAATTTCATTACCTCTCTTACATGTCACTTTTATGACCCTTATATTCATTCTCTCATATCTTCAACTCTTTGTACTTCACTGTTCCTACTGCCTGCTTTTTCCTCAGCTCCTCAGTGACTGGCTGCTTCTTATCTTTCAGATCTCAACTCAAACATCTTCCGTTCAGAGAAACCTTCCCTGAGTACCCCTATCTGAAGAGTCCTTCATCATCCCTGGTCTTTCTTTCATAGTACGATTATACAGTGTAATTGTTAATTTATTTATTCACTTGTTTACTGTGTCTCCCCCACCAGTGTTCCAGGAGAGGTGGGGCATTTTTTCTGGTTAACCAAATCCTCAATAATTACCACAATGCCTGGCACACTGTAAGCACTTATTTCTCCAACAAAAAACTCAATGAATGAATCTAGGATACTTTCGAAATTACGACTTAGGCAGAAGTAGAGCAAATGGAAAGAAAAGCCTAACACAGGAAACGCAGGTGGAAGAGTAGCGCGCGCATGGATGAGAAGGACGCTTAAACTTGGAGTCAACTTCGCCAAATCCCCTGCAGCCCCCGACCCCAAGTCCGGAGCTGACAGCTGACAGCATGGCGCGACGTCCCGCATTGGTAGGCACGAAAGACGGGACACATCGACCCTATGGGATGAGGTGACGGAGTCCTGTGCTCACAACCCGGCCGGGGCAGCGGGCAGGAGACCCCTGCCAGACACGCGTGAGAACCCATGTTGGAAAATCGGGGTTCCGGAAGCCTCGCATCCAGAGCGGCACGAGGCAACAGGCCCGTTGCGTCGGCGTTTTATAAGTGTCCGAAAATGGGCAAAATTCCCTGCGCAAACCCGGAGTGACAGAACAACAGTAAGACACTCACATCATCCGACTGCATGGTGTCCGCGGCTCAGCGTGCAACTTCCGGCCGGATCGCGGGCGCAGACATGCTTCTTCCGGGCAAACCACTTCCGGAACGCCCAGCCTCACCTATCTCGAGAAACGCTGAGACTCTCGGTGTTGCGAAACGTCCCCTGGCAGTCTCGCCGCCGCGCGCGCCACCGCGTTTCCACCACGCTGGCGTCTGCGCGCGTCCGCAACGCTGGGGCTTGTTCGCTGGCGCCGCCTGGAGCTGGGAATCCGGTTGCGCCCCAGTGCTATCTGCGGGAGGCAGGACGCGCGTTGGCGGCCGAATCCTGGAGCGCGGGGACCGCAGGGGTCGCCCGTGCTTCCTTAGGGCCCTGTTTGCGACCGTTCATGAGGATGGGACCTCTCCCTGCCGGGCCTCCCCTCTGCTGGGAGAAGGCTGGGGAAAGGTGCGGGCGGCGCGGCGGGGCTGGGTCCCCGCTCTTACGAGTCCCCCGGCCTCAGCTCGCAGCCAGGCCCCGGCCCTGCCCCACAGATGCTGCCTTGGCCACTACACACGCCCAAGTTGGGTGCGGCACCGGGTGCTGACTTCAGAAACTTAGAACTTGAATTCTCCCTGTTTTGAGAAACGACTGACCAGATGGAAAGAGCGTTCCAATAATAAACACCTGTGTCTTCTCATTGCCTATTTGAGACAACAAAATGCTGTGGCAACATCAGGAAGTTACTCCATATGGTCTAAAAAAGGGAGGCATAAGTAATCCCCTCCGTGTTTTGCATATAATCAATAAATAGGCTGGGCTTAGTGGCTCTCGCCTGTAGTCAGCATTTTGGGAAGCTGAGGCAGGTGGATCACCCGAGGTCAGGAGTTCAAGACCAGCCTGGCCAACATGGTGAAACCCCATCTCTATTAAAAGTACAAAAATTAACCAGCATGGTGGCGGGCGCCTGTAGTCCCAGCTACTTGGGAGGCTGAGGCAGGAGATTCACTTGAACCTGGGAGGAAGAGGTTACAGTGAGCTGAGATCAAGCTGCTGCACTTAAGCCTGGGCAACAGAGCAAGAATCAGTCTCAAAAAATACATGAACAAATAACGATAAAAATGGGCAACCGGCAGCCCTCGGTGCCGCTCTGCCTATGGAGTAGCCACTCTTTCATTCCTTTACTTTGTTAATAAGCTTGCTTTCACTTCATGGACTCATCTCACCTCAAAGTCTTTTTTCCTTCCCCTTCCCCTGCCCCTGCCCCTGCCCCTGCCCCTGCCCATGCCCCTTCCCTTTCCTTCCCTTTCCGAGTCTCGCGCTGTCGCCCAGGCTGGAGTGCAGTGGGGTGATCTTGGCTCAGTGCAAGCTCCGCCTCCCAGGTTCACGCCATTCTCTTGCCTCAGCCTCCTCGAGTAGCTGGGACTACAGGCGCCCGCCACCACGCCCGGCTAATTTTTTGTTGTTGTTGTTGGTGGTGCTGGTGGTGGTGGTGGTTTTTTTTTTTTTTTTTTTTTTTTTTAGTAGAGACGGGGTTTCACCGTGTTAGCCAGGATGGTCTCGATCTCCTCACCTCGTGAACCGCCTGCCTGGGCCTCCCAAAGTGCTGGGATTACAGGCGTGAGCCACCGCACCCAGCCTCAAATTCTTTCTTGCTTAAGATCCAAGAACCCTCTCTTGGATCTGGATGGGGTCCCCTTTCCAGTAACAAGACCATTTTAATAACAAAAGTGTAAGAAGGACACAGTCTGCTAAAACAGAATCTTAAATAATGTAATCATGGCAGTGACTTTCCATAGACTTTGCCTTATGCTATCGGTTAGATCAAATCACAGGTGCCACGCTCACTGGAGGGGAGGAAAAGATACAAAACATGAACACCAGGGAGTGGACTCATTGGGGTCACCCCAGGGATACCCTGGATTTGACTGCAACTGAAATACATGAGAAATTTGATATAAAGTTTAAAAGCATTTATCATGATGTTATGTAGTATTTAGTGAGGCAGAGCTTGCAGTGAGCTGAGATCCTGCCGTTGCACTCCTGCCTGGATGACAGAGCGAGACTCTGTCTCAAAAAAAAAAAAAAAAAAAAAAGGTAATTTGCAGTTCAAAAGAAGAACGAAAGAAAATTTAGCCGGGCGCGGTGGTTCACGCCTGTAATCCCAGCACTTTGGGAGGCTGAGGTGGGTGGATCACCAGGTCAGGAGTTCAAAACCACCCTGGCCAAGATGGTGAAACCCTGGCTCTACTAAAAATACAAAAATTAGCTGGGTGTGGTGGCGGATGCCTGTTATCCCAACTACTTGGGAGGCTGAGGCAGAGAATTGCCTGAACCCAGGAGGCGGAGGTTGCAGTGAGCTGAGATCACACCACTGCACTCCACCCTGGGCGACACAGTGAGACTCGGTCTCAGAAAAAAAAAAAAAAAGAAAAAAAAAAAAAGAAAATTTAATGCTATTTCAGCATTCTCTATACATACCCGTATTCTCCTCTGTTACCATAGTGCACTATGCATTCCTCACTAGTGTTCTATTATTGTTGTTGGTTTATTATCTCTTAGGCCTTGAGCTTGTCTGTTTTTTTTGTTTTTGTTTTTTTCTTGAGACAGAGTCTCACTTTGTTGCCCAGGCTGAGTGCAGTGGTGCTATCTCAGCTAATTGCAACCCCCACCTGCTGGGTTCCAGCTATTCTCTTGCCTCAGCTTCCTGAGCAGCTGGGATTACAGGTGCGTTCCACTATGCCCAGCTAATATTTGCATTTTCAGTAGAGATGGGGTTTCACCATGTTAACCAGGCTGGTCTCGAACTCTTGACCTCAGGTGATCCGTCCGCCTTGGCCTTCCAAAGTGCTGCGATTACAGGTGTGAGAGCCCAAGCTGGGCCAACCTTGAGCTTTTCAAGATTAGGAATGATGTCTTTTCATTTCTTTATCCACAATCTCCTGTACAGTTCCTGGTACATAGTAAATTCGCAATAAATTAGTTGTTAGGTCTCTATTTACTTATTTATTTAGAGACAGGGTCTCCGTTGTCTTACCTTCCAGGCCTCTGCCACCTTCAGTCACTCCCACTAGCAACTTTCCCAGAGCTGACCCTGGGCAGAATCAGGTTTCCTATGAAGTGTACACATACACACACACACACATACTCGCGAAACCCTGAAGTGTGGAAGGTAGCTTATTGGAGGATTAAACCTAATAAAGTTGCTCATCTGTAAAGCTTGTGTGTTTGCTTGTATACAATCAGAAGAATAAACCATTCAAGGAGAAGAAAAATAGGTAGTTTTTTGTTGTTGTTTTAGCAGAACCACAGAGCTCACCAAGAGGAAGAGATGGGAGGCTAATGAATTTAGACCCTCTCTCTATAAATCTTGCCAGGCACTGTGGCTCACGTCTGTAATCCCAGCACTTTGGGAGGCCGAGGCAGGTGGATCACCTGAGGTCAGAAGTTCGAGACCAGCCTGGCCAACATGGCAAAACCCCGTCTCTAGTTAAAAAAAAAAAAAAAAAAAAAAACCAAAAACCTGGGCCTGGTGATGGGCGCCTGTAATCCCAGCTACTTGGGAGGCTAAGGCAGGAGAATTGCCTGAACTCAGGAGGCGGAGCTTGCAGTGAGCCCAGATCGTGCCACTGCCCTCCAGCCTGGGTGACAGAGCGAGACTCTATCTCATAAAACAACAACAACAGCAGCAACAACAACAACAACAAAAACCCTGTCTCTGTAAATGTAATGACTAGCTGGAAGAAATGGGAGTCATTGTCAGAGGTCTAGCATCTCTTTATTTTGTTTTTTCTTTCTTTTTTTTCTTTATTAACTTTCAGGGTTCTTTTGGTCTAGCATCTCTTTATTAAAGTGCTTTTTAGGTTGCCAGAATAATAATCGAGCAGCTAGAACTGCAAAGGAGGAAAGGAAAGAAAATTGTTGGAGCTGAATGATCTTGATTTCAACACAATGATCGTAAGTCCTATGGAGAGGAGTAGGAGGAAGATAAGTTGGTTAATGAGTACAAAAATACACTTAGATAGAAGGATAAAGTCTGGTATTTGATAACACAGTAGGGAAATTATAGTTAACAATAACTTATTGCATATTTCAAAATAGCTAGAAGAGAAGAATTAGAATGTTTCCAACACAAAGAAAAGATAAATGTTTGAAGTGATGGATACCTCTATTACCCTAATTTCATCATTGTATACATGTATCAAAATATTACATGTACCCCCAAAATATATGTAACTATGATATATCAATTTAAAAACACAAATAAATTAAATGTAAACAATAACTTTTTTTTAGAAGTCCTATGGGGAGGGTAATTTCTGCAGCCTCCTCTCTTGCCAATGAGCTCGATCATTCAGAGTTTTGCAGCGGTGAATGAAGCATGTTTTACCTGCCTCTCCATGAATATTCCTTAAGCGATTCAATATTTGCTTTTGCTCATAAAAATGATGCAACGGGGAATATCTGCTGCTATTTGTTTTATATTTGCTTCACATCTTGTTCACAGATGAAGAAATACTGAGATGAAAGGGGATGGAAGATGAGGACTCTCAGACCCTGGGGTAGAGCATATTTGTGATTCTTTGTTCATTAGATGACTGTATGTTTATCACAGAACATAGACCAGGATGTGGAAAAAAGTAAACTAGCATTTTACATACCACATCTTCCCTCCTTTATCTACTTCATCTATCTTTTTATTCCATGTTAGAAGGGAAATATTTGGCTGGGCGCAGTGGCTCATGCCTGTAATCCCAGCACTTTGGGAGGCCAAGGTGGGCAGATCACTTGAGGTCAAGAGTTCGAGGCCAGCCTGGCCAACATGGTGAAACCCCGTCTCTACTAAAAATACAAAAATTGGTTGGGTGTGGTGGCAGGCACTTGTAATCCCAGCTACTCAGGAGGCTGAGACAGGAGAATTGCTTGAACCCGGGAGGCGGCGGTTGCAATGAGCCGAGATTGCGCCACTGCATTCCAGGTTGGGTGACAGAGCAAGACTCCCATCTAAAAAAAAAAAAAAAAAAGGAAATAGGAAAGAGGTAATGAGAAAACAATCTAGAAGAATGACTTTCTTTCTTTCTTTCTTTCTTTTTTTTGAGACAGAGTTTCGCTCTGTTGCCCAGGCTGGAGTGCAGTGGCGCGATCTTGGCTCACTGCAAGCTCCACCTCCTGGGTTCACGCCATTCTCCTGCCTCAGCCTCCCGAGCAGCTGGGATTACAGGCGCCCACCACACGCCTGGCTAATTTTTTGTATTTTTAGTAGAGACGGGGTTTCACCATGTTAGCCAAGATGGTCTCGATCTCCTGACATCGTGATCCGCCCACCTCGGCCTCCCAAAGTGCTGGGATTACAGGCGTGAGCCACCGCGCCCAGCCGAGGAATGACTTTCAAACTTGGTTATGTTCAAACATCAGAAACAAATTGTGAACTGATTAACAATACAGATTTCATTGATAACATCAGAAATGCTGTGTCAGAAACTCAAGGAGTAGAGCTCCTAGATGATTCACATATTAGATAGTGCCAGACACATTAGCAGTACAAGAACTTGTATTTGAGAAGCAGTGCTCTGAAACAGTTTGTACCCTCTTAGAAACAGGGGGAATGCAAGAACTGAAGCTGCCTATGGAAAGTCAGCAGGCTCCTTCTTTACGTATTTTCTTTTCTTTCTTTTTTTTTTTTTTTTTTGAGACAGAGTCTTACTCTATCACCCAGAGTGGAGTGCAGTGGCGCTATCTCAGCTCACTGCAACCTCCACCTCCCTCCTGGGTTCAAGTGATTCTCCTGCCTCAGCCTCCTGAGTAGCTGGGACTACAGGCATGCACCACCACACCTGGCTAATTTTTTAATTTTTTAGTAGAGATGGGTTTTTGCCATGTTGGCCAGGCTGATCTCGAACTCCTAACCTCAAATAATCTGCCCGCTTTGGCCTCCCAGAGTGCTGGGAGTCACCATGCCCAATTGAAGGAGCAGATTTTACAGGTGGTGAGGGTTGAATTTTGGACATGTTACTTTACTTTTTTAAAGACAGGATCTTGTTCTGTTTCCCAGGCTGGAGGATACGATCATAGCTCATTGCAACCTCAAACACCTGGGCTCAAGTGATCCTCCTGCCTCAGCCTTCTAAGTAGCTGGGACTACAGGTGAGTAGCACCATGCCCAGTAAATTTTTAAACTTTTCTGTAGAGACAGGGTCTTGCTACGTGGCCTAGGCTGTTCTCAAACTCCTGGGCTCAAATAGTCCTCTGGCCTCAACCTCTGAAAGTGCTAGGATTATAGGCGTGAGCCACCATGTCCAGCCTGAACGCATTGATTTTCATTTGCTCACTAGACATTCAGAGTTGTTAGTACTCAGCAGTAAGCACACAGCAGTCACTGCTCCATGAAATACTGAAATTCCACCTGGCAAATGTTGTCATGTCCCTCTTCTCCAGGGACAGGGAACATTCTGTGATTAGGGCCCAGTTTTGCTTTCTAGGAATGGCTCCCTGACACCCGGTTCACCAAAGCTCTTGAATTGATTCTCTGAAGCACTGGTTTTTTCCGTTATGCCTTGTGGATTCTTAGGAAGAAATGACTCCTGTTGGCAGCTGAGTGCCCTTCTCAGTCTGTATCTTGCTCACAGAACCTTGGGGGCTCAGAAACTTTTTTTTTTTTTTTTTGAGAGAGGGTCTCACTCTGTCACCCAGGCTAGACTACAGTGGTGCAGTCTTAGCTCACTGCAACCTCTGCCTCCCGGGTTCAAGCAGTCCTCATGCCTCAGCCTCCCACGTAACTGGGATTACGAACGTGTGCCACCACACCCAGCTAATTTTTGTATTTTTGGTAGATAGGGAGTTTCACCATGTTAGCCAGGCTTGTCTCGAACTCCTGACCTCAAACAACCCGCCCACTTCAGCCTCCTAAAGTGCTGGGATTACAGGTGTGAGCCACTGTGCCTGGTCAAAACACGTTCGCTATGTAAAACTTTTGAAACTTCGTGAACTTTCTATGTTGAGTCTGGTTTCAGTCTACTCCACTGGTCAAAAGCTATATTACATCATTTTTCTTCAGACAAATTTCTTTCCAGACTTGATTGCGATTACTTTGAGTGTAACCGGCAGCTAACAGAAGACATTTTTATGATTCTTTTTTTTTTTTGAGATGGAGTCTTGCTCTGTCGCCCAGGCTGGAGTGCAGTGGCACGATCTCAGCTCACTGCAAGCTCCGCCTCGCGGGTTTACGCCATTCTCCTGCCTCAGCCTCCAGAGTAGCTGGGACTACAGGTGCCCGCCACCTCGCCCGGCTAGTTTTTTGTATTTTTTAGTAGAGGCGGGGTTTCACCGTGTTAGCCAGGATGGTCTCGATCTTCTGACCTCATGATCCGCCCGTGTTGGCCTCCCAAAATGCTGGGATTACAGGCATGAGCCACCGCGCCCAGCCAACATTTTTATGATTCTTATTGGCTCTTTTGTTTAACTGAAAAGATCCATCAGTACCAACTTAACTCTTTTAGAGGTCTTAACAAAAGATCTTCCAGCCTCATCTTGAGGATCTTTTACTGGCTGGGGAGGTTGGAGACAAGAACAGGGTTTATTTTCCAGTCTACTCAATTTTAATCTCTTGATAGTTCCTCCAAATTCTGTACAGCAGCCCTTTCCTCTTACTTTTCTTACTTCTTTCTGGCAGTCCTTACAATATGCAGCTAACAGACACCACCAACTAACACATTTAGCATTCTGCCTGGAAATCATTTTACCAAGGCCTACACATTAAGTATGTTTTATATCTTGTGAGTTGTTATAGGTAATAGTTTTACCAAGTATTTTGCTGCTACCTAACATGTCATCATTTTTCCAGTTTGCTATAGCAGTTTTCTTAGCACCTTAAGAAAACCCTCAAATTTTAAATTCATTTTGGAGTAAAACAGGCTCTTTGCTATTTACAAGATTACTTCTGAGTTGCAAAAATTCTCTGTCCATGTTTTTCCCTTTATTACCATGTTTTTCTCCTGTATTTCCCCCACTCAATCTTGGGTGCCACAATCCGACAGACAGCATGGCACTTTTTTTTTTCTTTTTGCATCTGTAATGGAAACAGACTGTTTTCTGCTGCGTGGCAGCAGACAGTAAGTGCATCCGATCTGTCAAACACAAGCATGCTTCTTGCTTTTTCACTGTTGCCCAGCACTTGCTCCCTAAACCAATGCCACATATTTTAGGCTTTTGTTAAACAGCATCCCATTTCTAGATGGCAATTTCTTTTTTTGTTTGTTTGTTTTTTGTTTGAGATGGAGTCTTGCTCTGTCACCAGGCTGGAGTGCAGTGGCATGATCTCGGCTCATTGCAATCTCCGCCTCCCAGGTTCAAGTGATTCTCTTGCCTCAGCCTCCTGAATAGCTGGGATTACAGGTGCACACCACCACACACAGATAATTTTTGTATTTTTAGTAGAGATGGGGTTTCACCATGTTGGCCAGAATGGTCTCCATCTCCTTACCTCGTGATCTGCTCACCTCCCAAAGGCATGAGACACTGCATCTGGCCATAGATGCCAATTTCTGTATCAGTTAGCTACTGCTGTATAACACATGCTTCTGAAACTCAGTGGCTTAAACAGTAAGCGTTTATTAGTGTTTGTGTTTCTATGAGTCAGGTGGGTAGTCTGCTGACTTGGGCTTGCTCACATATCTGCGGTCATCTGGTGGCGTATCTTACAGGCATGAACCACCACACCCGGCCGAGTTTTCTTCTTTGATCTATGTGCTATAAAGAAGTGTGTTGTTTTTATGTTCATGTATCTGGAGATTTTCCAGTTATCATTTAGTTACTGGTTTCTGGTTTAATTCCTTTGTGGTCTGATAGCATGCTTTGTATGATGACCATTCTTTGAAATTTGTTGAGGTGTGTGCCTTTTTTTTTTTTTTTTCAGATTGAGTTTCGCTCTTGTCGCCCAGGCTGGAGTGCAATGGCACGATCTTGGCTCACTGCAACCTCCTCCTCCCAGGTTCAAGCGATTCTCCTGCCTCAGCCTCCCAAGTAGCTGGGATTATAGGTGCCCACCAGTATGTCTGGCTAACTTTTTTGCATTTTTAGTAGAGACGGGATTTCTCCATGTTGGTCAGGCTGGTCTTGCACTCCCAACCTCAGGTGATCCGCCCTCCTTGGCCTCCCAAAGTGCTGAGATTACAGGCATAAGCCACTGTGCCCGGCCGAGGTGTGTTTTATGGCCCAGTATACATGCTTTTTGATGTTCATATATAGGTATGTGTATTAGGCCAATACCTAGGAATTTCTGGGTCATAACATGTATATTCAGCTCTACTAAAGATGAACAGACGATTTTCCAAAGTGGCTGTCACAACTGCACCCCCAACAATAGTGCATAACAGTTCTATGTGCTTCACGGCTTTGTCCTTGTGTTGTCTTGTCAGTTTTAAAACCTGTAGCCATTTTAGTGGATGTGTAGTATATATCATCATCGTGTTCATTTGCATTTCCTTAATGACTAAAAACATTAAGCATCTTTTCACGTACTGCCTGGCTATTTGGATTCCTCTTTGGTGAAGTGCTGTACTTAGTGATTGTTTTTCTTTCTTATTGCTTTTAGGAGTTCTTGTTATATTCTAAATTCATTGTTAGATAAAATATATCAAAAATACCTTCTCTCATTCTGTAGATCATTTTTCATTCTTTTTCTTTCTTGAGACAGGATCTAACCCTGTCGCCCAGGCTGGATTGCAGTAGCACAATCCTGACTCACTGCAGCCTTGACCTCCCAGGCTCAAACAATCCTCCTACCTCAGTCTCCTGAGTAGCTGAAACCACAGGAGTGCACCACCACACCTGGCTAATTAAAAAAAATTTTTTGTAGAGACAGGGTCTCCCTATGTTGTCCAGGCTAGTCTCCAACTCCTGGGCTCAAGTGATCCTCCCACCTCAGCCTACCAAAGTGCTGAGTGGGTGTGAGCCACTGCACCCATTTCTTACTTTCCTAATGGTGTCTTTTGATGAACAGAGTTTCTTACTTTTAATCATATCTAACTTATCAATCTTTTCTGTGTGTTTGATGTTTTTTAGACGTGGACACCATTATTATCAACCTGTTTTTATAGAAAAGTTGAGTTGCTTGGCACTGGAGCTCTGCAGGGTCTGGACCAGGGGGAGGCAGGCCTGAAACAGCAAATCACCCTCAGGCTTCTGCAGTGCACCCAGCACCGCAGGACACCCAGAGTCAGCGCCTCCTCAGATTTTGAGCCCTAAGTGCCTCACTTGCCTCGCCCTAGACTCAGCCCTCCCAAAGTGTTGAATTACCTCCTTAGGTTTATTACTTCCTAGACTAGGGCAAAATAGAAGTCAATTAGCTTTCCTTTACCAGTGTCTAGTCCGTTTGGGCTACTATCACAACATACCTTAGTTTGGGTAACGCATAAACAACAGAACGCCATTGCTCCCAGTCTGGAGGCTGGGAAGTCCAAGATCAACGCCCCGGCAGATTCTTCATCCATTAGCGTCTGTGCCTCATACAAGGGATATGTGTTCTTACACGGCAGAAGCTCTCTCTGGTCTCTTTGATAAAGACACAGTACATTTGTAAATTTATAAAGGCTACAAAGGCACGAAATTCACATACGAATTTGGGGCGGAGCACAAACATTTACACCATAGCAACCAGTACAATCAAACTAAATGATCGTCCTGTTCCGTCTACCAAATACTGCCAGAAATGGTGCCCAGCCTTAGAAAACATGTAAAGCTCTTGATATTCTTGAATACATAACTTTCACCTTTTTAAAACTTATTATTTTATTTATTTTTGTAGACAGTCTTGCTCTGTTGCCCAGGCCGGAGTGCAGTAGCTTGATCTCGGTTAACTGCAGCCTTTACCTCCTGGGTTCAAGAGATCCTCCCACCTCAGGCTCCCACTAGCTGGGACTACAGGCACGGGCCACCACAATGGCTAACTTTTGTATTTTTTGTAGAGACAAGGTCCCGCTATGTTGCTCAGGCTAGTCTCGAACTCCTGGGCTCAAGCTATCCGCCCGCCTCGGCCTCCCAAAGTGCTGGGATTACATGTGTGAGCCTGGCCTGAATAGGTGACTTTGAATGCGCTCCAGTCCCAGTCCAGTTGGAGAAACGGAAAGTTTCCTTGTCTTGAAGAAGAGGGCCCCCGCAGCCTTCCCGAGAACTTTCCATAGGGCCGTGGCCTGAGGCGGACTGTGAACCACGATCACCAGCAGGGGGCGGCCCAGTGTTCTTAGAACCCGGGTCCCACGAGCTTGTGAACAGGGCACGAGTGAAAACCCGGATCCAGGTGCTTCCGCCGGAACGTGCCCCGAGCTCGCCCGCGCGGCTGCCTCCGCCGCTCCTGATCGGCTCTCCGGGTCTTCCCGGGGCCCAGGCTGGGGCTCATAGGGAGAAAGGAAGCGGCGCTGCGGTCCGCGGGGCGAGCCCTGCTCCGCGCGAGGTGAGTGCGAGTGCCGCATCTCCTCCAGCCGCGGCAGTCGCTTGGTGGGATCAGGGGCTTGATGCTGAGACACGGAAAGACGCTTTTCCGGTCCCACGGAAGCTGGGACACTACCTCCGGGAGTCACAGCCTAAGGAAACTCCCTCTCTGTGCCGAGCAGGGGGTGCGTGTAAGAGACGGAGTGGTGTATGCAAAATAATCCAAGTCTGTTTTGGGGACCTAGTGGTGCATAGGCAGAGCCACTGCCTGAGATTGAAGCCTGATCCACCAGGCGGGAGGCGGGTGCCGGGCCGGAGCCTCCGCTGGAGCCCGGAGGAGGAGCGCGGGGTCCCGACGCCTCCCCGCCTGCCGCGATTGGCCTCCTTCCCAGGCCCGCGGCCGTCCATTCCAGAACCTAATCTGCCTTTGCGGGGCGCAAATTGCCTTGTTCTCCCCCAGGTCTTCCTAGAGAATCACTTGTTGCAGGAATGTTGTGTTGAAGTCGTAGCAACTGTGACTTTTTAGTTGCAGAGAGCACGGTGTATTTAATGGAGAAAATGCCCCGGGAAAGCACCGGCAACTGCAGGCCTGGGTTATCCCATTTGCAAGCCATGTGTTAAGTGGTTTGCTCCCGATGAGTACCCTTAGAACAGAGCTCATTTTGTGTAAACTATAGAAATAACCATGCTGTGATTTTATGACATTTTTCTGGGAATTTTTAAATGATTTTTAAAAATAAAGCAGACGTCACACAAAATGACTTTTTCTTAACACCACGGCCCCAACGGTCTGTCCCCTGCCCCCTGCTACAGCTCCCTGCAATGATAGTTTTATGTGTTTTATGCATGAAATGACTTGAATTGTTACTTTCATTTGTGGAATGCATGCAGCTCTGGCTGGCCACAGTTTTGAATAAGGCAAGTTGGCTTTAAGGACTTTATTCCCTTTGTACATCCTTCTTTCCAATGAGACACTCAGGAAACTCAACGACCAATCTTGGGATTGTTAGTAACGTCACACTACAACTAGGGCAGGATTTCTCCCTCGTCTGCCGTAGTCTCAAATGGAGGCCTTTCAGGCATTGAATAAGCAGCTCAGCTCTTTGAACACTGGAGTTTCACAGTCTCCAATCTAGCAGCACTGTAGTCTGTTTTAAAAAAACTTTCTTCTGAGTAAGGAGAAGCCGGAGACAGTGGTTAGCCTCGGGTGATCATTCAGGTCTGTTCCAATTTTGAAACTGTTGTGATAACTCTTGCTCGCTTCCTGCTAGATGGCAGTGTGTAACAATGAATTAAAAACACGATCTCCATTCTTACTGTGTTATTGCTTGTCTTTTATTCTTCAATAAGAAGAAAAGTAGGTTTTCAAGTTTTATCGTACAAATAATATTTTTGAAAAATTCAAAACTAGGGTTAACTTCAGTAAGTTAAAAGAATATAGCTTGGAAAAACAATAATGTTATTTATAGATGTAGAAATATTCTTCAGTAGGCAGACATTTCCAACCCGTATTTAAATGCTTTAAACTTCGGAATGTAAAGAGTTGATTTCAGTAAGATATTGAATATCTAATTCAATTACCAGCGTTCTACAATGAACATTTGTTATAGTGTTGCTGAACATGGGTTTTTGAAAATTTTTTTAAAGTTAAGTTTGTCTTACAATGTCTTTCAGATTTTTTTTTTTTTTTTTGAGACAGAGTCTCGCTCTGTCACCCAGGCTGGAGTGCAATGGCCGGATCTCAGCTCACTGCAAGCTCCGCCTCCCGGGTTCACGCCATTCTCCTGCCTCAGCCTACCAAGTAGCTGGGACTACAGGCGCCGGCCACCACGCCCGGCTAATTTTTTTTGTATTTTAGTAGAGACGGGGTTTCACCATGTTAGCCAGGATGGTCTCGATCTCCTGACCTCGTGATCCGCCCGTCTTGGCCTCCCAAAGTGCTGGGATTACAGGCTTGAGCCACTGCGCCCGGCCTTGTCTTTCAGATTTTTTTCTTTCAGAATGAAATTGGAGTTTTCAAAAGATTATATTAAATTACCAACAAGGAAAATGAAGATAAATCCTAGACATGTTATATATATTTTTAAAAATATTTCCAGAAATCTTTATGATGACTCATGTTGTCTGGATTATGGTCTCTTGATTAATCTTTTATGGAGAGTTTTTACTCGTGGATATAATTTATGGGATGAGAGAGCTTAATTTTGGGATGGAACCTCAGAAGATCATTTGGTCCAGAAATGTTGTGTTGAAGTCGTAGCAACTGTGACTTTCTAGTTGTAGAGCGCACGGTGTATTTAATGGAGAAAATGCCCTGGGAAAGTACCAACTTTCTTTAGTCATTTAGATTTGTCTAAATTTGTCTAAAGATTTGTCTTTAGTCATGTGAAATATTAGCTACATTTTATCAGTGTTACTGAACCAGCTCCTCGTTCATGATTATATAAATGATAAAAGCAGATCGGGGATTTTATTTGTTTTTTCTAGTCTGCAGTTATTCAATATTTATTAATTTATATTTTTTTCTGGAGATGAGGGATTTTAATTCGGGTATCCTGCCTGGTAGGAAAATTGCGACAAAGTAACCTAAAAGCCCTTCTTGGAGGAAGACTACTTACTAATAAGACCTCATAGGAAAAACAAAGGCGAAAAAGAATCCCTGCTCTTGAAGAATTGCCTTGGTTCTTACTATGATACATAAACTTCACAGTCTTGTGCTGCCACCCCACTTTTAATTTTTTTATTTTTGAGACGGAGTCTAGCTCTGCCACCCAGGCTGGAGTGCAGTGGCACTATCACAGCTCACTGCAGCCTTGACCTCCAGGGCTCAAGGGATCCTCCTGTTCGGCCTCCCAGTAGCTGGGACTAGGACTACAGGTGCATACCAGCATGCCCAGCTAAGGTTTTTTTTTTCTTTTTTTCTTTTTGTAAAGATGGGTTCTTGCCGTGTTGCTCAGGCTGGTCTTGAATTCCTGGGCTCGAGTGGTCCACCCACCTCAGCATCTCAGAGTGCTGGGATTACAGGCATGAGCCACGACACTAAGCTTTGCCTTTTAAAAATCTGTGCTTCTTGCTGGGCACCGTGGCTCATGCCTATAATCCTAGCACTTTGGGAGGCCAAGGCAAGTGGATCATGAGGTCAGGAGGTCGAGACCATTCTGGCCAACATGGTGAAACGCTGTCTCTACTAAAAATAAAAAAAATTAGCTGGGTGTGGAGGCGCACACCTGTAATCCCAGCTACTTGGGAGGCTGAGGCACGAGAATCGCTTGAACCTGGGAGGCAGAGATTGTGGTGAGCCGAGATCGCGCCACTGTACTCCAGCCTGGGGACAGAGCGAGACTCTGTCTCAAAAAAAATAAGTAAAAAATCTGTGCTTCTAATTGAGGCATTGCATCAGTCTGTTTATCTGGCTCTCTGTCTCTTTCGGATTTGTTTTTAGTTTCTACATCAAATAGATCCACTGAATACTCACTCTTGTGAGGTTGTATGATCAACACTGCATAATTTAAGCAGTTTAGTATATGTCTGGAATTTAAGGATTGAGGAATGACATTTCCTTCATTTCTGCAATAGAAGTGCAGAGGTGTCTGGCTACACCTTCTCTTTCCCCATTAATCTCCAGTCTTGATTCACATGACTGCCAGTGTGCCTTTCTCCCTTACTGTTCTCTACTGGTCTCACCTGAAGTTTCTGCTAGGATGAAGAGGATGACTTTCCCACATAGAAATCTGCAATCCAGAGCATGCTTTATATAAAAATAAATGCTCAGCAAAATATGAAGTTCACTGAAAAAGAGTGAGGAACACATTAACACAAGTTTTTGTTTTGTTTTGTTTTTGAGACAGAGTTTTGCTCTTGTTGCCCAGGCTGGAGTGCAATGGTGTCATCTTGGCTCACTGTAACCTCCGCCTCCTGGGTTCAAGCGATGCTCCTGCCTCAGCCTCCTGACTAGCTGGGATTACAGGCATGCGCCACCACACCCGGCTAATTTTTGTAGTTCTAGTAGAAACAGGGTTTCACCATGTTGACCAGGCTGGTCTTGAACTCCTGACCTTAAGTGATCCACCTGCCTCAGCCTCCCAAAGTGCTGGGATTACAGGCATGAGCCACGGGCCTGGCCATTAACAGAAGTCTTGTTAAAGAAAATTGAGTAAAAATGGAAACTGTGGAGGTATTACACCATGTTCATCAGATGCCCAAGGAATAATCACAGGCACTACGGAAGTCTGCAAATTAACAAAATAGGCCAACTTTTAAATGTTCATCAGTGGCTTTTTATGCATCTGATAAAGCAGCTTTAGAAAGTTTACTAAAATCCCCCAGCTTCCTGTGTTCTCTTCACTGTCCTGATGGAAACAAGCATGTGATGATATGAATCTATAAACTGATTTGTTAGCTGGGTGCAGTGGCTCACACCTGTAATCCTAGCACTTTGGGAGGTTGAGGTGGGCAGATTGCTTGAGCTCAGGAGTTTGAGACCAGCCTGGCCAACATGGTGAAATCCTGCCTCTACGAAAAAAAAAAAAAAAAAAATTAGCTGGGTGTGGTGGCACATGCTTATGGTCCAGGTACTCTGGAAGTCGAGTGGGCGAATCACTTGAGCCTGGGAATTTGAGGCTACAGTGAGCCAAGATTGTACCACTGCAGCCAGCCTAGGTGACAGAGGAGACCCTGTCTCAAAAACAAAACAAAGAAACAAAAACTGACTTGGTGTTGGGAGGGGTAATGCCTCCCAAAGGAGGTAGCCTTGAAAGTCTTGCAGAATGGCTAGCACAGTGAAAGAGGTGGAAGGGCTTCCAGATAGGCACAAGACCACAGAGTGGGAAGCCGCGTTCCAGGATACCAGGAACAGAGTCCTTATGCTGCGAACCAGGAAAGGAAGCCACAGAGGTAGGGCATGGCCCACATTGTGTTTTCTGTTTTTTTGTTTTGTTTTGTTTGAGATGGAGTCTTGCTCTGTTACCCAGGCTGGAGTCCAGTGGCGTGATCTTGGCTCACTGCAACCTCTGCATCCTGGGTTCAGAGGTTTCCTGCCTCTGCTTTCCTGCCTCAGCCTCCACAGTAGCTAGGACTGTAGGCACACACCACCACACCCAGCTAATTTTTGTATTTTTAGTAGAGATGGGGTTTTACCACGTTGGCCAGGCTTGTCTCCAACTCCTGGCCTCAAGAAATCCACCCTCCTTGGCCTCCCCAAGTGCTGGGATTACAGGCATGCGCCACTGCATCCGGCCTCACATTAATAAGTGGCGCTTTAGTGTGAATAGTTTAAATTTGATAATTAGATACATTTTTTCTAAAAACTCTCCGTGGTATAACCTCTAGCTTATTAACCCCGTTAACCCCCCAATTACCAGAACAGAAATGGGCAAAGGAGTCTTCCCAGAGCTCCCTGCCTTCTGCCTCGCCTCTCCTGCAAGTAGGGAGAGGTAGGAGGAGGAGGGGCACACAAACTACCAGGTTCTTCTACTTCTTTTCTTTTTTTTTTTTTTTTTTTTTGAGACACGGTCTCACGCTGTTGTCCAGGCTGGAGTGCAGTGGCGCAATCTCAACTCACTGCATCATCTGCCTCCCAGGTTCAAGGGATTCTCCTGCCTCAGTCTCCCTAGTA